GACCCGCCACCAAGTTCGTAGAGAACGAGGGGAGGTAGAGACCTGACAGTGTGCCCGACGAAACCGCAGGACAAGGGAGGACAAGGGAGGACAGTGGAGGAGGTCGCAATGACCGGACCCCCAGAGGGGTTAGCGAGGGAGACTGCAACTGGCCGAGCAAGTTGCTCAAGGGCAGTGCGGTCATGAAAGAAACAGCGGGAAGCACCTGAGTCCAGTGTGAAGGTGTGCAGTGCCTCAGTAGACGCAGTACCAGCGGGCGCAGACTCACGAGCACCTAGAGCAGCAGCCTCACCAGCACCTGGGGCAACAGACACACTAGCACCTAGAGAGGAAAGCTCACCAGCACCTGGGGCAGCAGACACACTAGCACCTAGTGCGGCAGCCTCACTGGTCCTAATGCCCGGGTCGGGCGGGACACGCAAGTAACAGTCACCCTCTCCACTAGCAGACAACACATACATGGCACCAAGAATAGCATCAAAGTCAAGAGCATAGACATCAATGTTCTTCTTGATCAGATCAAACCAGCGGGGCAGCAGGAAACTGAGTGCGCCAGGCGTCGTCGAGGCGGGAGAAGCAGCACTGCTGCGTGTGCGCCCTCCCACACGTCTGACCAGTGCAGTCACCTGTGCGGATGACGTACGGGCAGCTAAGGCCACCCCCCCCATCGCTGAGAGTACCAGTCACGAAGCTCCTGGGGCGACAGGGTGTGCTGCTGGCGCTGGCCGCCAGAGCCTCCGCGACCTCCACCGCCACCGCCGCCACCTCGACCACCACCGCCACCACCGCCACCGCGTCCACTGCCGCCACTACCACCGCTCCAACCCCGGCCACCTCCTCCACCGCCGCCGCCACCACCCCCGCCGCAGCCGCCACCACCCCCGCCGCTGCCACTGGCCCCTCCAGCCCCGCCACCACCCCCACCGCCGCCACCGCCCCCACCACCGCCTCCCCCGTCGTCACCGCCGCCCCCCTTGCCCCCTTTGCCCTTGCCGCTGCGGCGCCCCCCACTAGCAGTGGATGCAGTCCCGACCTTCTCGGCACCAAGAAGGTCGACAACAGCAGCAGAGGCGACAGAGGGGAGGAGAGGGGAGGGGGAACACCCCTCGAAGAAAGGGGTGCGGGGGTCGCCGCGAGACGCACCGACAGCGACTATGCTAGTCTCGGCTGCCAGCAGGTGCTTCTCAAGCAGATCAATGGTGAGCTCGGTGGGGCAGAGAGCAAGGAAGTGGTCCCTGACCGCACGAAGGGTGTCAGGGAGACAGGTGACCAGGTGGTAAAGAGTGAGCCACAGCGGGGGGGGGTTCTTGGTAAGAAACTCAGCGGGCATGGCAGCTCGGAAGCGGGTCTCACTAGTGCGGAGGTGAGTAATGAGGTCAGCTACTGTGGAGAAAGCGGACAGGTCTGGGAACATATAGGGCAGTGAGAGACGGCCTAGTGCAGCAGAGGCAGGCGAGGAGTAGCGCGCAACTACAGCAGTGTACAGTGCCTGAGTAGTCTTGTGCTGGCCAAAGTGCTCGCGTTCATCTACCGGCATGGAGTTGCGAATGGCGAAGCGAGAGTGGGCGTCACGAGTCTGCCACTGTGAGCGGGCAGTACTGTCAGCAGTCGCAGCAGGGGCAGGAACGAGTCCTAACGCATGGTCATATAGCGAAATATCCTCCTTAGCAGTGAGCTGGAGGAACAGATGGAGGTCATCGAGCCAGGTGTCAAAACGTAGCGGGCGGCCCTCAGCATCGAAAGCTAGAACTGCAGGACTAGCCATAGTTACAGTAGGAGCAGTAGGAACAGCAGTAACAGCTGCAGCAGTACAGCGCGGCTCGGGCAGGGCGGCGCGGCGCGGCTCGGGCAGGGCGGCGCGGCAGCTTGCGCGTGTGGCGGCGCGTGCGGTCGTGCATGCAGCCTAGCGTGCGGCTGCGCGTGCGGCTGCGCGGGCGGCTGCGCGTGTGGTTGCGCGGGCGGCTGCGCGTGCGGCTGTGCGTGCGGCTGCGCGTGCGGCTGCGCGTGCGGTCGTGCGTGCGGCCTAGCGGGCGGCCGTGCGTGCGGTCGTGCGTGCGGCCGAGTGTGCGGCTGCGCGTGCGGCTGTGCGGGCGGCTGCGCGTGCGGTTGCGCGGGCGGCTGCGCGTGCGGCTGCGCGGGCGGCTGCGCGTGCGGTCGTGCGTGCGGCTGCGCGTGCGGCCTATCGTGCGGCTGCGCGTGCGGCTGAGTGGGCGGCTGCGCGTGCGGCTGACAGGCGGCACGTGCGGCTGTCCTAGGGGCGCACGACGGCGCTAGTACCAGGGGCGCTCGACGGCGCTAGTAGGAGGGGCGCTCAACGGCGCTAGTAGGAGGGGCGCGCAAGGGCGCGGCGGAACGGTGGGCCCTAACCAACGTTGGTCCTAGGTCCTGACCTAGGCGTCGGATACCATGTTAAAATGTAGAACTGAACGAGGATGATGAAACTAGGCAGCAGGGTGATACAAGTAGGAAACCCTAGCAATGTTGTACCCTCTAAGACTAAACCCACTATATCCTACACAATATAAACATGTGTAATGTTTGACAGGTTCTTCACGATCAAGAGAGTATCTGCAGTTATAGGTGCTATTGATGGGACACACATACACATGAAGGGGATGGAGGGCCATCGCGTGGAATACTACACGCGCAAATCATGGTATGCCGTGTAATTGCAATTGACATGTGACGCCCGCGGCATCGTTTGGGACTACCTCATCGGCTATCTTGGTCTGCGCGTATTTATAAACGGTTCATTACACGAAAGGTTGCAAAATGGTGACATAGCCCCTTATCATATCATGGGGGACGCTGCCTATCCACTCAGGGACTCCTGCCTGACCCCCCTCTCTCTCCCCCCCTCTCTCTCTCTCTCACTCTCTCTCTTTCTCTCTCTCTCTCTCTCTCTCGCTCTCTCTCTCTCTCTCTCTCTCTCTCTCTCTCTCTCTCTCTCTCTCTCTCTCTCTCTCATATGGTCCTTCATTGTGATAACATGCAATACAACGAGCTAGTTTATAAATCAGGCACAGGCATGCAAGGGGGGCTGCCTAAGGCAGTTCAAAGTCCGGCTCGAGGATGTGCAGAATGTCGCCCGTGACGAGGGGCTCGTCCTGGTAGGCAGACGTGGGTGCCTCGGCCTCAAAGGCCGCCAGGGTCTTGGCGCAGTGGGCATTTGCTTGGCCCCTCTGCAGTGCGATGGACCACTGCTGTCGGTAAGAATGAAACAACTTCAACGCCTCCCGTGAGGTAGGCTCAGCGTTGTGGAGCCTTTTTGTTGCCAGCTTTTTCCTTTCTCTCTCTCTCTCTCTCTCTCTCTCTCTCTCTCTCTCTCTCTCTCTCTCTCTCTCTCTCTCTCTCTCTCTCTCTCTCTCTCTCTCTCTCTCTCTCTCTCTCTATCTCTCTCTCTCTCTCTCTCTCTCTCTCTCTCTCTCTTTATCTCTCTCCCCCCCCCCCCCCCCTCCCCTCCCCTCCCCCCGTCCTCTTCCCCCTCCCTCAATTTATGTGGAGGACTAGCATGATAAATTTCATACTACCATGTTTAGTGCTATGAATAAACTCTTTCTAGCATACACACTCAGCTGTAGTGTGCGAGCGATAACGAGATCCGCCATAAGAACCCGTAATTCCAGGTAATCAAGCGTGGCAGGAACGAACCGATGTGGGCAGCTTGGCACAGGGGCCCCAGCGTTCGAGGCTTCTGGCAAGGAGCACACCCACGGAGGACAGACCTCTCGTATCACTGGGCGATGTCCACGTGGCGAATCTGCCCAACGATTCGTGATCTCATCTGCTCTGGATCATGGTTTCTCCAGGTCGCTGCCACGGTAGCGCGAAGCGTGTACCACTCATCTCTCGTGTTTCGCCAACAGAACAGATGCGCTTCCAATCAAACTCTGCTGAACCTAGGGAATGCGTGGAGTGCTGCTGGGGCAAACCAAGCTTCACAAATCTTCCAAGTTCCGAATCTCGAACCGTCGATACACGACCAATACAAATCATTTCAGCCTGCCCCAACCAGCAAATTCGTCTATGGGGGAGCCAAGGAAACCTTGAAGTTTGCTCCCTTCCCCCTGGCCCAAAACCGCGGCGTGCGAGATGGGATTGGCCAAGAGCAGTCATCACGTCAACTCTGTTCCCTTCCGTCTTGACCCCTCTCGTTTCCGTCTAACTGAGAAGCATCTTCATCCCTCTTGGTGTGTGTGTGGAAGAATCTCTCGAGCTTGTCTGTCCTGGGCTGTCTGAGCAGAGGAATCTTTTCCCCCCAACGGATCCTTCTCTGTTGTGCACTGAGCATTTCCCTGGCACCAGGAATCTCGACACCATCGCAGAGTGCTCAGTGCCTGGTCAGTCTTTGCGATCCTTCCGGTGTTGTTAACGGCCTTACCAAACCGACGTCGTCAGTCGCCGCTGCCATGGCGATCCCGTTGACACGTTCCGTGTCTCTGGCGAGGGACGCGTCGCCAAGTTTCTCTCATGGTGGTTTTTTCAAGGGAAGCTCTAAGCTCCTGAAAGGACCGCAGCAAGTGCTGCTGCGGACCAATTCTCTTTCACGCAAATCCACCTCGTTAGTGTCACACTCGACATCGGTCTCTGCACGTTCCAGCGCCGAGAGACCAGACCGCGCGTCGTTCGTCCCAGCAGAGCCGTTGTCCTGCGTTCTCGTGGTTTCGTTTGTACCCGATAATGGCTGGCTCGATACTCGTAAAGGAAGCCGATCTGTTCGTGCCAATGCGCGAGCCACTGGCGGAGACATTGCCGAAAACGAAAATGACGGCGCCGGTAACGTCGCCGTTTCAGATTCGAAGAGCTTGAACGGTGCGCTAGCTTTAGTCGAAACCGTGTCTCGGTCAGATGTTTCCACGTCAGATGCGGAGGCGGCTCGCGATAGCCTCGTCAGCGCTGACGTGGCAGCCGAAGTCAACGAACGGCTGCAGCGGCTCGAGGTCCTCATGCTTCTCCGGCGGCTTTACCGCGACGCGAACCGGTCCGAACGCGTGCTCAACATGCCCATACCCGTTATAGCGAAGAAGCGGGAAGGGACGCAGGAGCTCAAAGCGCGGCGGAAGGTGCGGCGCGGAGCGAACTACTGGATCCGCCGCGGGCTGGGTGTGGCAGAGCGGAAGGGCGAGGGGGAGGATAAGCCTATCTTAGTGGTGGAAAGCGCGCTCGAGGTGCTTGGCTGCGCTGCGGACGTCCGCGCGCTCGCCGGCTCGCTGACTCGCGACCTAAACTTCTTTCACGGGCAGCTGCCCGCCGTTTTCCCGGTAGGTTACAAAGGGAGTCTGATGTTTGCCTCACTCCATCCTTTTTGTGTGTGTCGTGTGTCAACCCACGCTGAGCTCTAGTGTTTCCGTCTCGTGAGCTCTTGTGTTTCCGTCTTGTCCATTCGCATTCCCGTCACTCTCGTGTGTTCTATGTTCAGAAGATTACCAGCCTCCTGTCACCTTCGTTATTGTCACAGGAGGAGACGAAGGCCGCGGAGGGCGTGGCGGACGTGGTGCGGACGCTGGCACAGCGGCTGGAAGTATTTTTTTCTTATTCCCTCTCCATTTCTCCCCCGTTACCGCCACAGGAGGAAACAAAAGCCGCGGAGGGCGTGGCGGACGTGGTGCGCACGCTCGCGCAGCGGCTAGAGCAGCTGGCAGATCGAATCGAGGCGTCGCTGTCGGCGGAGCAGCGGCGCGAGGTGGAGGAGGAGCTGGAGGCGCAGGCGCTGCAGGAACAGATGGACAAGGAGGCGAACGTGCAGGTGAGGGGTGGTGAGCGGTGAAGGGTGGTGAGAGGGGGTGCTTGCCGGTGAGGGGTGTGGTGTTGGGATGTGAACTTGGAAATCAGTGCGAGGTGGAGGAGGAGCTGGAGGCGCTGCAGGAACAGATGGACAAGGAGGCGAACGTGCAGGTGAGGAGTGGTGAACGGTGAGGGGTGGTGAGTGTGTGACGCGTAGGTGAGGTGAGGTAGAATAGACACTGGGAGAGGTGGTGAGAGAGTGGACGCGGGAGGTGAACAGACACTGGGAAGACACCGCGAGGTGGAGGAGGAGATGGAGACGCAGGCGCTGCAGGAACAGATGGACAAGGAATCGAACGTGCAGGTGAGGAGTGGTGAACGGTGTAGGGTGGTGAGAGGCCAACGTGCAGGTGAGGGAGATTAGAACAAGAGGCTTGCAGGTGAGCGGGAGGTAAGAGTGGAAACGCGGAGGTGAGCGTTCACGTCCTCCTCCACCTCTCAGTGACTTCCTAGTGTTCCCACTTCCACACTGGGAAATCACTGAGAGATGGAGGAGGAGGTGGAGTGGAGGCTCAGTTGGACAATCTGCAGGAACAGATTGATAAACTGATGTTCCGAGACCTCACTAGTCTCGTTCGCTCGGCTGTTCCCCCCGCCCCCCCGCTCTCCCCCCCTCTGCCTTCCCCACCAGGAGCGGGTGCTGCGGCGCCTGGGCGGCCTATCCAACACGAGCGCGATCTTGGAAAGGGTGCGACAGAGGATAGCCTCTGTTGACATCTCGTTTGGGGACTTCAGCATCGACCTGCCCACCATCAAAGGGGTGAGCGCGCCTTGAGATGTATTCGAAGGCTTGAGGGACGATTTGAAAGGGTTGAGAGGTCTTTGAAAGGGCTGAGAGGTCTCAGAACACAACACGAGCGCCTTACTGGAGAGGATGAGGCAGAGGATAGCATCGGTGGACATCTCGTTTTGGGACTTCAGCATCGACCTGCCCACCATCAAAGGGGTGAGCGAATGTTTGAACATGTCGCAGTGGTCTTGAGAGGGCTCAAGACATGACACGAGCGCCATTCTGGACCGGGTGCGGCAGAGGATAGCATCGGTGGACATCTCATTCGGGGATTTCAGCATCGACCTGCCTACCATCAAAGGAGTGAGCGGGAACCGAACAAGGTCGGGTTGCTGGTATGACTTGCAAACACCAGCACTTAGTAGTCTGACGGCTCACTCTGGCACTTAATACTCTGACTACTTATACTGGGTTAAGTGGCTCTCGTCTCCTCTGCCTCCTCAACCTCCTCTTTTCTCCCCCTCCTTTTCACACTTCCCCCCCCTCTCTCCCCCATGTGTGCCTTGTTCCAGGCGGGAGGGAAGGCGGTGCGCACACTGGTGGACACGTGGCGGCGTCTGAATGGCCGCCCACCCACCACGGAGCTCGAGCCCCTGGCGTCGGGCCTGCCCCGCCCCGATTCAACCGGCGACAAGGAGGAGGAAAAGAAGCTCAAGCTGCTGCTGGAGGTACGACTCACGAGGTGCTAGAATTGTGATATTATGGTGATGTGGTTACCAGGTACGCCTTTGAAGCAGCACGGAGCTGGAGCCCCTGGCATCCGGGCTCCCCCGGCCCGATTCAACGGGTGATAAGGAGGAGACGAAGAAGCTCAAGCTGCTGCTGGAGGTACGAGGTGGTAGATGTGTTACATGGTTACCACCAGGTGCGTATCCAAGCACCACGGAGAAGAGGCTCAAGCTGCTGCTCGAGGTATGCTGTGCTAGGATAGGAATGCGGTTTAGCTGGTTACCCCATTCTCGTTTGTTTGAAAGATACAGAGCCTGGTAGCCCCGGCGTCTGGCCTGCCCCGGCCCGAGTCGACGGGTAATAAGGAGGAAGAGAAGAAACTCAAGCTGCTGCTCGAGGTACGAGGTGCCAGGGTTGTGATGTGGTTACCAGGTTCCAGGAACAACAACCCCCCGCCTCCGCCCCCCTTCTTATTCCTACCCTTGGAGTTCAGGTAGGCGCTGGACAGTCGGCTGAACGAGGCCATTCGCAACAGGGAGCAGGGGGCGTCTTGGTGACACGGTTCCTTCAACAACCCCTCCCTTCCGCCTCCCTTCTTATTCCCACTTACTCCTGGCAGGTTGAGGCCCTGGACAAGCGGCTGAACGAAGCAATCCGGAGCAGGGAGCAGCGGCTGCGGCAGAGGAACGTGCTTGTGAGGGCCAGGCTCGCCCGGGAGATCAAAGCACTGGATGATGAGGTGAGCTGGGCTCTTTCGTACAGGCAGTTGGTGAGTCGTCTCTGTGAGTATTCACACAGCAGCTGTGGCTGTGAGCAGAGGAACGTGCTTGTGAGGGCCAGGCTCGCCCGGGAGATCAAAGCACTGGATGATGAGGTGAGCTGGGCTCTTTCGTACAGGCAGTTGGTGAGTCGTCTCTGTGAGTATTCACACAGCAGCTGTGGCTGTGAGCAGAGGAACGTGCTTGTGAGGGCCAGGCTCGCCCGGGAGATCAAGGCGCTAGATGATGAGGTGAGGCCCCTTGTTTGTACAGGGAAGCAGTGTCTACGAGCATTCAGGCAGCAGCAGGGGCAGCAGTAGGAGGAACGTGCTCGTGAGGGTCAGGCTTACCGAGCACGGACGTAGTGATGCACGGACGTAGTGATGCACGGACGTAGTGATGCACGGACGTAGTGATGCACGGACGTAGTGATGCACGGACGTAGTGATGCACACGCAAGTGATTGGTTAACTTGACTTGGCGTGCACGTGACGTGGTATGTTTATCCATTCATCCGATGGTGTGTGAACTTGGTCAGGGAGCAGCGTTTGAGACAGAGAAGTGTGCATAATTTCAGTAGAGATTCCAATATTGCGCTAAACAAATGAGTAACTGCAGCGAGGGAAAATTCTCTGAAATTGTTCCAATATAGGTCAAGGAGGAATCGCTTGAATTATAACAGTATAGGTTGACGAGAGATTGTTAAAATGGCGAGAAGAGTGTGTTAAAATGATCTTACTATGATACCATGCGCCATGCGCCATGCGCCATGCGCCATGCGCCATGCACCATGCGCCATGCACCATGCACCACGTACTGCACTATGCATGCGCCATGCACCATGCGCAATGCGCAATGCGCAATGCGCCATGCACCATGCGCCATGCACCATGTACCATGCACCATGCACCACGCACTGCACTATGCATGCACCACGCACTGCACTTTGCATGCACCACGCACTGCACTTTGCATGCACCACGCACCATCTACCCATCCACCCCTCCATCCTTGCAGGTGAACGAGCTGCGCAAGGAGCTGGCAGTGCGCACGCTGCAGCTGCAGAGTGAAGACACACCATTATTTCTCCTTTAACTCCCGTCCCCTGTGCTGCCCTGCACCCCTCTACCACCCATCCACCCACCCACCCTCCCACCCACCCAGCCCACCCATCCACTCATGCAGGTGAACGAGCTGGCAGTACGCACGCTGCAGCTGCAGATGCAGAGAGAAGACACGACATCATTCCCACCCACTACCATCCACCCACCCCTCCATCCATGCAGGTGAATGAGCTGCGTAAGGAGTTGGCTGTGCGCACGCTGCAGCTGCAGAGTCAAGAGAACACATCATTTCGCGCATAACTCCCATCCCTTGTGCTGCATCCCACTCCCACCCACCTACCCATCCACCCCTCCGTGCATGCAGGTGAATGAGGTGCGCAAGGAGCTGGCAGTGCGCACACTGTGTCCAGAGCCAAGACCCGCACAACATCATAACTCCCATTACATGCTCTGCGCCCACTCCCACCCACCCCTCCATTTCTCCATCCGTGCAGGTGAACGAGCTGCGCAAGGAGCTGGCAGTGCGCACGCTGCAGCTGCAGATGCAGGTCATCTACATGTTCCTAGAGCAGGAGTTGCTGTATGCCGCCGACTCCCGTGAGTCTTCACCCTGATAGGGAGCAGGTGCATGCATTGAGCCACCATAGCCGCACGCTGCAGCTGCAGATGCAGGTCATCTACATGTTCCTGGAGCAGGAGCTGCTGTTCGCTGCTGACTCCCGTGAGTTATATCCAGTGCAGTATAGTCATCTGCATGGTCCCACGACAATTGCCTAGGTGCACGCTCAGCTGCAGCTGCAGATGCAGCTCATCCACATGTGCTGTTTTTTGCGAAACACAGAATGGCATAAAAACTGCCCGCAGAAAATAATATGGTTTTGGTCTGCCTGCCCGCCAAGCAAATTGTCGTGCGTGAAGCGTAATATTGAGAAGCATATTGTGTGATGGCATTAGCATGCCTGCGTGATACCCTCACCCTCCTGAGCTTGATTTTTCTAACTTAGCTCTGAATCCAAACCCCTCAGAGCTTGCTAAGAGTCACCTCTTCTTCCTCCCACTCTCTCCTTCCTCCCAAATCCTCTCCTCCCTCCCCGCCCCCCCCCCCCTCCCCCATTCACCAGAGCACAGGTGGCAGGGAACGATGAGTCCCATCTCGTGTCGTGGCACCTAGGCAATTGTCGTGCGGCACATCAATAGCCTAGGTGTACAGCCTGGTGTAGCGAGGTTGTTTTTGAGACGTCTCAAAAACAACCTCGCTACATGCGGCACATCAATAGCCTAGGCTAGGTGTACAGCCTGCTCGATGCAGACCTCCCTGCATCGTATTAACCACTCCCTCCCCCCGACCTCCCTCCTCTCCCCCTCCACCCCGATCCCGTCACAGCAGAGGACATGCGGTCAGATGAGGACGAGTCTCTCCTCGCCTCGTGGCGCAGTATGGGCTGCTCGATGCTGACCTGGCGCGCCTGCTGTCCCCCCCTTCCTCCGCCCCTCCCCCTTAAACCCTATTCCTCCCCCTCTTCACAGCAGAGGACATGCGGTCAGATGAGGACGAGTCCCTCCTCGTGGCGGAGTATGGGCTGCTTGATGCTGACCTGGCGCACCTGCTTCGATCTAACCACCGACACGCTCCCCCCGCCCCTTCCCTCCCAACCCCACCCCCCTCCCCCCATCCCCCCACCACCAGAGGACATGCGGTCAGACGAGGACGAGTCCCTCCTTGTGGCGGAATACGGTCTGCTTGATGCTGATCTGGCACGGCTGCGCACGGCTGTGGACAGAAACGAGGCGATTCTTATCGAGGATGAGGAGCTGGAGGCACTGGCGATCGACATTCCCGGTAGGGCTTGTGTGCTGTGTGCAGTGGGCAGTGTGCAATGGGCAGTGTGCTGTGTGCAGTGTGCTGTGTGCAGTGTGCAGTGTGGTTGCCATGTCTTGAAATGGGCCGTATCAAGGGACTTGCTAATCACCGCATGATTCTTTTCGAGGATGAGGAGCTGGAGGCACTGGCGATCGACATTCCCGGTAGGAATCTTGGTCTCTCCCGGTTGAGCTGTTTTCCTTTCTGCTCCTCTGTGGGGTTGCTTCTTATGGGCCGGTTCATTGGCCTCAAAAACCCCCTTCATGATTCTTATCGAGGATGAGGAGCTGGAGGCACTGGCGATCGACATTCCCGGTAGGAATCTTGGTCTCTCCCGGTTGAGCTGTTTTCCTTTCTGCTCCTCTGTGGGGTTGCTTCTTATGGGCCGGTTCATTGGCCTCAAAAACCCCCTTCATGATTCTTTTCGAGGATGAGGAGCTGGAGGCACTGGCGATCGACATTCCCGGTAGGAATCTTGGTCTCTCCCGGTTGAGCTGTTTTCCTTTCTGCTCCTCTGTGGGGTTGCTTCTTATGGGCCGGTTCATTGGCCTCAAAAACCCCCTTCATGATTCTTATCGAGGATGAGGAGCTGGAGGCACTGGCGATCGACATTCCCGGTAGGAATCTTGGTCTCTCCCGGTTGAGCTGTTTTCCTTTCTGCTCCTCTGTGGGGTTGCTTCTTATGGGCCGGTTCATTGGCCTCAAAAACCCCCTTCATGATTCTTTTCGAGGATGAGGAGCTGGAGGCACTGGCGATCGACATTCCTGGTAGGTCTTCTTAACTTTACTCCCAGTGCGTTGCGTTGGACACGTGACTAAATCAACTAAAGTCTCCGGCTGATGACTAACGCATTCTCCACGATCCCACGTCTCCAACAGTAACGTTGATGGTACTTTTGAGATTTCTCAAAAGTACCATCAACAGTAACATTTTGAGACGTCTCAAAATGTTACTTTTATCATATCGCGTTCTCCACGATCTCCCGTCTCCAACAGTATGACTCTTGAGTCAATGCAAAAGTTGACGCTGCTGCAAGTCGTCGTCTATACGAGCTCAGCGAATTTCAGAAGCTGGAGATTTGTATTTCCAGAATGAGAACAAACAGTTCAATAGCAAGAATAAGTAAGCAAATGCGATTTGTAGCAATGCACTGCAGCAGCGCGCACAGGGCAGGTGGTTGAAAGCGAGGGCTGAACCACACCCCGTGCTCCTTCTCCTCCTCTTTCAGCTCCCCCCTGTTCACACCCCATGTGCTCCCAACACACCTTCCTCCCCCTGTGTCTCCCCCCACACCTCAAGTTCCGGCTGGGCATAATGGAGGAGCCATCAGTGCTGCTGCAGCAGCGCTTCCCTCGTCTTCTCCCCAATCCGACACACCTTCCTCTCCCTCCCCCCTTCCCCCCTCCCCCAGACCTCAAGTTCCGGCTGGGCATAATGGAGGAGTCATCGGTGCCGCTGCAGCAGCGCTCTTTCTCTCCCCAATCCCAACTCTGCCCCGTCCTCCCTCCTCCCCCCTCCCCCACACCTCAAGTTCCGGCTGGGCATAATGGAGGAGCCATCAGTGCCGCTGCAGCAACTCTCTTTCTAATCTGCTCCTCAATTCAACACATTTTCCTCTCCCCCCCCCTCCCCTCCCCCAGACCTCAAGTTCCGGCTGGGCATAATGGAGGAGCCGTCAGTGCCGCTGCAGCAGTGTGCACAGGGAAGGTGGGCGAGGGCTGCAATGCAACACACCCCGCACTCCTCTTACACCCCCTCCTCTCCCTTTCCTATCCCCACTCCCTCCCTCTCAGACCTCAAGTTCCGGCTGGGCATAATGGAGGAGCCATTAGTGCCGCTGCAGCAGCGCATTCCCTCATCTGCTCCTCAATTTATCACACCTTCCCCCCCCCCTGTCTCCGACCAGACCTCAAGTTCCGGCTGGGCATAATGGAGGAGTCATCGGTACCGCTGCAGCAGCGCTCTTTCTCTCCCCAATCCCAACTCTGCCCCGTCCTCCCTCCTCCCCCCTCCCCCAGACCTCAAGTTCCGGCTGGGCATAATGGAGGAGCCATCAGTGCCGCTGCAGCAGCGCGCACAGATGACAGTGGAGGAGGCGAAGGGCAAGGTGGGCGAGGGCGCGTCCTTTTTCGCGCGAGGCGTGCGCCTGCTGGCAGGCGACGTGGCGTACTCTGCCCGGCTGTTCTGGGTCGCTGCTACCGGGACCACACTCAAAGCTAGAGAGGTGAGGGGAGGGGATTTTTCCGTAGGTATACTGGCATAGTTCTCCCACTCACACTGGATACTTCTTCGCGCGAGGCGTGCGCCTGCTGGCGGGAGACGTGGCATATTCTGCCCGGCTGTTCTGGGTCGCTGCCACTGGCACGACACTCAAGGCTAGAGAGGTGAGAATGCATGTAAGTGGTTACAGATGACAGTGGAGGAGGCCAAGGGCAAGGTGGGCGAGGGCGCGTCCTTCTTCGCGCGAGGAGTGCGGCTGCTCGCAGGAGATGTGGCGTACTCTGCCCGGCTCTTCTGGGTCGCTGCTACCGGCACCATACTCAAAGCCAGAGAGGTGAGGCCGGGGCTGCTTTTAGAGGGGTTCTGAGAGGCTGAGAGCGGCTGAGAGGGGTTGAGAGGGGTTACAGATGACAGTGGAGGAGGCCAAGGGCAAGGTGGGCGAGGGCGCGTCCTTCTTCGCGCGAAGCGTCAGGCTGCTGGCTGGAGATGTGGCGTACTCTGCCCGGCTGTTCTGGGTCGCTGCCACTGGGACCACACTCAAAGCCAGAGAGGTGAGGGGCTTGTACCTTGAGTATAATATTGTGGTACCATATACTTTTTCCACTCATGATAGGTACTTCTTCTGGCGGGGAGTGCTGCTAGCGGAAGATGTGGCGTACTCTGCTCTGTTCTTCTGGGTTGCTGCCCCTGGGACCAGAGCGCGCTCCCAGTGGCAAACTCTCCTTCTCAGGTGCAAACTCTCCGCCGCACGGCCACCGACCTGCTGGTGGTGATTCCCTTCGCCATCATCCTCATCGCACCCATCACCCCTGCTTTCCCCACGCCCTTCTGCCTCTCCCCCTGGTCCTCCAGGTGCAAACCCTGCGTCGCACAGCAACCGACCTGCTGGTGGTGATTCCCTTCGCCATCATCCTCATCGCACCCATCACCCCTGCTTTCCCCACGCCCTTCTGCCTCTCCCCCTGGTCCTCCAGGTGCAAACCCTGCGTCGCACAGCAACCGACCTGCTGGTGGTGATTCCCTTCGCCATCATCCTCATCGCACCCATCACCCCTGCTTTCCCCACGCCCTTCTGCCTCTCCCCCTGGTCCTCCAGGTGCAAACCCTGCGTCGCACAGCAACCGACCTGCTGGTGGTGATTCCCTTCGCCATCATCCTCATCGCACCCATCACCCCTGCTTTCCCCACGCCCTTCTGCCTCTCCCCCTGGTCCTCCAGGTGCAAACCCTGCGTCGCACAGCAACCGACCTGCTGGTGGTGATCCCCTTCGCCATCATCCTCATCGCGCCCATCACCCCTGCTTTCCCCACGCCCTTCTGCCTCTCCCCCTGGTCCTCCAGGTGCAAACCCTGCGTCGCACAGCAACCGACCTGCTGGTGGTGATTCCCTTCGCCATCATCCTCATCGCACCCATCACCCCTGCTTTCCCCACGCCCTTCTGCCTCTCCCCCTGGTCCTCCAGGTGCAAACCCTGCGTCTCACAGCAACCGACCTGCTGGTGGTGATCCCCTTCGCCATCATCCTCATCGCGCCCATCACCCCTGCTTTCCCCACGCCCTTCTGCCTCTCCCCCTGGTCCTCCAGGTGCAAACCCTGCGTCGCACAGCAACCGACCTGCTGGTGGTGATTCCCTTCGCCATCATCCTCATCGCACCCATCACCCCTGCTTTCCCCACGCCCTTCTGCCTCTCCCCCTGGTCCTCCAGGTGCAAACCCTGCGTCGCACAGCAACCGACCTGCTGGTGGTGATCCCCTTCGCCATCATCCTCATCGCGCCCATCACCCCTGCTTTCCCCACGCCCTTCTGCCTCTCCCCCTGGTCCTCCAGGTGCAAACCCTGCGTCGCACAGCAACCGACCTGCTGGTGGTGATCCCCTTCGCCATCATCCTCATCGCGCCCATCACCCCTGCTTTCCCCACGCCCTTCTGCCTCTCCCCCTGATCCTCCAGGTGCAAACCCTGCGTCGCACAGCAACCGACCTGCTGATGGTGATCCCCTTCGCCATCATCCTCATCGCACCCATCACCCCTGCTTTCCCCACGCCCTTCTGCCTCTCCCCCTGGTCCTCCAGGTGCAAACCCTGCGTCGCACAGCAACCGACCTGCTGGTGGTGATCCCCTTCGCCATCATCCTCATCGCGCCCATCACCCCTGCTTTCCCCACGCCCTTCTGCCTCTCCCCCTGGTCCTCCAGGTGCAAACCCTGCGTCGCACAGCAACCGACCTGCTGGTGGTGATTCCCTTCGCCATCATCCTCATCGCACCCATCACCCCTGCTTTCCCCACGCCCTTCTGCCTCTCCCCCTGGTCCTCCAGGTGCAAACCCTGCGTCTCACAGCAACCGACCTGCTGGTGGTGATCCCCTTCGCCATCATCCTCATTGCGCCCATCACCCCTGCTTTCCCCACGCCCTTCTGCCTCTCCCCCTGGTCCTCCAGGTGCAAACCCTGCGTCGCACAGCAACCGACCTGCTGGTGGTGATTCCCTTCGCCATCATCCTCATCGCACCCATCACCCCTGCTTTCCCCACGCCCTTCTGCCTCTCCCCCTGGTCCTCCAGGTGCAAACCCTGCGTCGCACAGCAACCGACCTGCTGGTGGTGATCCCCTTCGCCATCATCCTCATCGCGCCCATCACCCCTGCTTTCCCCACGCCCTTCTGCCTCTCCCCCTGGTCCTCCAGGTGCAAACCCTGCGTCGCACAGCAACCGACCTGCTGGTGGTGATCCCCTTCGCCATCATCCTCATCGCGCCCATCACCCCTGCTTTCCCCACGCCCTTCTGCCTCTCCCCCTGGTCCTCCAGGTGCAAACCCTGCGTCGCACAGCAACCGACCTGCTGGTGGTGATCCCCTTCGCCATCATCCTCATCGCACCCATCACCCCGGTGGGCCACGTGGCTGTCTTCGGCTTCCTGCAGCGCTACTTCCCCGGCTTCTTCCCCTCTGCCTTCTCCTCTCGGTATGTCCCCAGCTTGAATGAAATCCTTCACCTCCCAAAACAATTTCTCACCCTCACTCAATCATACGTCTTCTCGCCACACCGGTAAGCCATGTGGGCCACGTGGCTGTCTTTGGCTTCCTCCAGCGCTACTTCCCGGGCTTCTCCCCCTCCGCCTTCTCCTCTCGGTATGTGCGCACATGCACTGACTAGGTCGCTCATCACACTGGTAGGCCAGCCAGATGAGCCACTGGTCATCACCAGCTTCCTGCAGCGCTACTTCCCATGCTTCTTCCCCTCCGCCTTCTCCTCGCGGTATGTCCCCGCCTTGACTCAAAAGCCCTGCACCTCCAAGTTCGATCCCACTCTGACTTAATCACTAACTCAGTTTTCATCACACTGGTTAGCCATGCCCTCCAGCGCTACTCCCCTCCTTCTTCCCCTCTGCCTTCTCTTCTCGGTACGTGAACCTATTACCCACATCGAGTGCCTTGAATGAATGTTGCCTCCTCGACCTCAATCAACCCCCCGTTACCCCGCACTATTACCCTACCCTTGGCCGCTACTTCCCTGGCTTCTTTCCCTCGATTGGGGGGAAGAGAGAGTAAGGGAAGGAAACAGCGGAGGTCGTGGTTCGTTATGAGAACCTCAAGCTGCAGATGGCTACAGCCTCAGGGTCCTGTCTCATTATGACCCTTGTCTTTGTCCTTCCTCTGGCTTATTCCCTCCCTTGCTCTCCTCTACCCCAACCACAGCCGGCAAGAGGTGATGGTGCGCTACGAGAACCTCAAGCTACAGATGGCTACAGCCTCAGGGTCCTGTCTCATTGCCACCCCCGTCTTTGCCCTTTCCAAGGCTTATTCCTCTCGCTTCTTTTCCCCCTCTCTCCTCCCCATCCACCCCCCCCCCCCCCCCAACTACAGCCGGCAAGAGGTGATGGTGCGCTACGAGAACCTCAAGCTACAGATGGCTACAGCCTCGGGATCAGAGAAAGAGAAAGTCCAGGCCATGGCTGCCGCAGCAGCCACAGAAACATTCGAAGCCTCAGAAGAGGATTCCGCAGGAGGCGGAGGGATGGGGATGCATGGAGGAGCGGGAGGAGGGTCAGGGGGAGGAGGCATGGGGATGGGCATGGGCGGGTTTTCATTCGGGCTTGGGTTTGGGAGAGGGGAGAATGTCGGCGGGCAGTCTTCGAGAATTTGGAGAGACGAGCGGGCGAAGCTGCTGCTGCTGCAGGAGAAGCTTCCGGGAATCTCCCGCCTGGTGTCGAGCTTGAGGGAAGCGGATGGGAGGAGAGATGGGGAGGCGGGGGAGAAGGCGGAGGGAGGGCTGGCTTCATCCCTGCAAGCCTTGGCATCACCTCTCTTGTCGTCTTCTGGTGTTACACCCTCGCCGCCTTCGTCCGCCTCATCCTTTGAAGCCGGAGTGACTGCTGCTGTTGTTTCTGATTCCACTGCTCCTGCGGCGGCTGCTGCTGATTCCGCAGCTGCGCCTGCTGCTTTAGATCCTCCCCTGAAGCAAGAAGAGCCAAGCAGCAGTGGATCACCTCAGGAGAAAATCCGGTAGCGCTAATGATGTCTGATTTATTCCAAATTATAAGGGCTTTAATATGTGAAGAAACAGAAAAATCAAGGCCATTGAGGCCTGATTATTGTCTGGGTGTTTGTTGGGGTTGCTGGACTTGTCTGGTAGGGGCAGTTGGCCTGGATTCAAAGTGCTCGAGTGGTGGATTGGAACGAGGTGATGTGCACCTTGCTATTATTTGAATAAATACTTGAAAGCGGTGCTTTTATTATAGTAGCAACCAACAAGATTACCCTGGTACAGTTTTCTGGTGTACATCACCTTCATGGAATGTTGAAGGTGTAGGCTTAGGGATGGAGCATGTGCCTTAGGAGGGATTCGTGCACTTGCACGTTATTATTATCACATGAATGCTAAAAGCAGGTGTAAAGGTTATGATTTTTGCTATCAAATTGAAGTTCAAATTGGGCATTTTTGTGCCATCCATGCGTTTTCAGAATGTATAGCCACGGAAAGATATGCAGTGTTATTAGCCGAGTGACTTTGTATTTTCTGTATTGTGTGGCGCTGGGTAAAGTCGAGCTTTCCAATATCGCACTCCTTGCACCTAGCCAGCAAACCACCCATGTGGTGTTCAAATTCCTTCCATCCGCTATTTACCACAGCTTTCGGGTTTGGTGGTGCTTTGGATGGAGACACTCTCCTCTTCGATGATAGTTCCTTGACCCGATGATAACGAACCAGAATGCTGGCTGAGGGTGATAGGTGGATAACGGTAACTGCGCAGCCCTCCAGAGGAATACCTCATCACACATCACCGCATCAACTACTCGTGGCAATTATCGAGCTGCCCTATCAGCACCTGCTGACGCATGTGACGTGGAGCTTGACACTTAGTACGCGGCTCGCCAAGTGGCAGGCCCACATCGGCCCTGAACCTCGACTTTAAAGTTGACTATTGGACGAGACGAAGGGGAGAGATCTAGTGACTGTAATCTAGGCCTTGTTCACTTTCGTCGCAGCGCAGTCCGAGGTACAAATGTCAGCATGGATGAAACCTTTCTCAACTCTTCACATCGCCGAATTCAGTTGGTTGCTCAATTTCAGATTTCCTAATTTCGCTCAGGCGAGTTAGAATTCTTCGAAACTGAGCATCAGAAACTTCGTTACTTTCTATTTCTATCCATGGCTTCCACCGTCTTCGCCAAGGAGGTGAGCTTGTTGACGTGGTTATCATGGAAAGACCTGCCTAGAACCAGCGTGATCTGGAATATTAATCACATGCGCGACAAATTTCCTCCTTTTTGCAGGCTACTCCCGCCGCCGTTGAGTCTATCCAGACCAACTTCCCCGGCTCCGTGGAGGAGACTACATACGTCGCGTCCGTCGCCGACAAGCTCAAGGAGCACGGGTTCAGCAAGGACAACAGCATCGCGCTCGTCAGCACGTGCCGTGACGAGGCGTCGCGTCTGCTCGACGCCACCATTGACAAGCACTTCGGCCTCACCTTCGCGCTCAACGGCCTTGCGGGAGTGCCGCCCGGTGGCGCGCTTGCGATCAAGGCCGGCGCGTCTCACAGCCCGCAGGACGAGAGCGGCAAGGAGAGATGTAAGTGAATGTGTCAGTATTATGCGACACAAATCTGTCAGCAAGACAAATTTGTCAGCGGGTGGTTCATCATGACGAATTAATTTACGTGGCGACGAGTGATGCGATTCCTAGGACACTTTCGGAGGTCGCCGCAACGGTTACAATGCCAGTTCTCCTTGGTTATCCTCATCCTGGGACCGGTCTGGATGGGATGAAACAGGATGCTAGCTTCGAAGTTTCAGTTCCTGAACGGCCCTTTGCTAGAGAATTCGCTTCCCCCTCCGAAGTTTCAACGCAATTTTTGTTTCCAGCTTCTCTCTTATTCATCGTTTATCTCACCTCTACCTCTCTCATTCCTCATCCTCTTCTCTCCATAACCCTATCCAGATGTCTTCTTCGGTCTGACCCACATCGGTGTTGACGAGACTGGCGCCATCGGTAAGATGCGCCGCGAAGGCCGCTCCGCGGCTTCCGGCGCGTGCGGCGCGCTTCTCGCACTGACCGCGCAGTTCAGCGCGAGCAAGGACCTCCCGGAGGCGTCGGAGGACGATCTCGAGGTGCACAACCTGACGAAGAAGCTCCTCGCGGTGAACCCCGAGCCGAACATCGTGGCGGTTACCAAGGCGGCTGTTGATGTTATTAACAGCACGCTGGAGCATCTGATCAGCGTGGCCGTTGACAGCACGAAGGCGGATTACGCCGTGATCACCGGCGTGCAGATCCACTCGGGCAACAACGTAAGTTGGGAAATTGCGGAACGAGCAGGTCACGGTATTGGCCAAAACATTATCGATTTCAAGTTTGTTTCTCTTCCTTCGTTTGGGTTCGGTACACGTATAGCTCACCCCCCTGTCTCTACCTTGTGTTTCCATTTCCTTATATTTAACCAAAATTTAACAATAATCGTGATTCCCTGACATTCTGCAGCCCGTTGGCACGGAATTCAAGCTGGAGAACACCGTTGAGTACATCACCCCTTCGCTCGCTTACGTGGTTGTTGACGGAGTCAAGAAGGAGCTGTCCCTGTAAATTCCTATTTATGACCATCTTTTACCTCACGGGCTTGGATGGCGTAGCGACGCGCAAGTGTCGCAGCAGGGCCTTGTGAGTCCCTATTTTTCGGTATCCTTGCCGTGGGATGTAATTTTGGTTGATATGTCATTTATTGTTAAATAATAATATTGAAGATATTTACATAGCTATCCGTGGTGAACCCCACTCTGCAAGTTTCGGCCTTTGCGTACATAGCGGCCAAGGAATTTGGCCAGGAAGTTGCACAGTTCTACCGCAGAAGCTGTTGAAAGGAGACTAGATTAGTCGTTAGTCTCGATGCACCTAGACCATTTAGAGTCCTATCCTACTCCAAATTCATTGCTCCACACCTCAGCGTTGAACGCAATGCTTTGCGACCTGAATGTATCTAGTCATCTTCACTGGCGTGGATTGCAACTTTCCCACAACGATTTCGTGCCAGTGAGTGAAAGCTCCATCCTGTCAGTGACTCACGACAACAGTGACCATTTGATCCTCTCGGGAGAATTTCACGACTTAGGGCATAAGCAACTTCGATGCTTGTTATAAGGTAAGTATCAAGAATGTCTATATATAAATTAGTGACCAGTATAATTATTAAGACCGCATTAGGTTCCTTCTCAATACCCCTAGTCACACAAATGGGCGCAATAAAAGAAAGTGTGGACTGAGGAAAATACTTGCAATATAAGAAAACGTTAAACCATATAATGAATTTATTTCCTAGGTTTCAGACACTTCTGCTGGAAATGGAGGCAAGCCCCATGGGACAGGATCGAAGTTCAACAATGATGGAAGAACGAGTGAAGCGTTAGTGCAGAGAGCAGCATCCACATTTGGATCTGGCACCATCACCACCCACCTATAAACAGGAAAAAAAGAACGAAGTGAGTAGAAAAAAACGCAAGCAGGAACCCTTTTTTTTGCGTTTCAGACTACCGTTAAAAGAAAAGGGGGTCAAAATATGCATATAGTGTACAGTACGTGATACAGGGTACAGGTACAGGTACACTCACATTCCAGCATTCCTGGCAGCATCAACGCCCAGTGGAGCATCCTCAAATACAAGCACGTTGTCTGGTGACGGTGGGGGCTAATGGGAGAACAGGGTGCGGTAGACAGTTGTAGACAGGGATAGAGAGGGGTAGAAAGGGTTAGTCACCAGCAGCAACAGCAGCAGCACCCAGTGGAGCATCCTCAAATACAAGCACGTTGTCTGGTGGTGACGGTGGGGGCTAATGAAAGAACAGGGTGCGGTAGACAGTTGTAGACAGGGATAGAGAGGGGTTGAAAGGGTTAGTCAGCAGCAGCAGCAGCAGCAGCACCCAGTGGAGCATCTTCAAACACCGCGACACTGTCTGGCGACTGTGAGGGAGTATGGGTGTGAGGGAGGTAGTGGAGTAAGGAGCGGGGGAGATTGTGGTAAAGGAATGATTCCGCAGACAAAATATTTATAAGACTGTCTGGTTAAACACTATCTGTCAGGAAATGCGGACTTTATGAGCGGCATCTGACCGGACAGATCGTGGTTTTGCATTGGAGACATTCAGTTTGTGACTCATTCACCCTCCGGAAACGCACGTGCAGTTTCGAGGCATTGCAGAGCAGGCCAGCCAGATTGTGCACCTGCATCAGAGACATTATCGTGACTCAACTACTCTCCATATACGCACAACCACTAAATTAACTTTGTTTGCTTCTTTGTTGTTATGTTTTTTTTTTTTTTTTTTTTCACTCTCAGATCACAGCTGAAGTACTCACATCAAATCTCGCAGCTGCCACTCTGAAGACGTCCGGAGCAGGCTTGCCATTGACAACCTCGGGATCATCCCCGAGCACAGAGTGACGCATGAGAGAGAAGAGGGCCGTGTGGTTGGTTGTCTTGAGTCCAAAGTGGATCTTGTGGGAGCTGGTGTGGTGGTAGGAGAGAAGGGGGAAATGAGGGGATAGAGACACGAGGACAACCTCGGGATTATCCCCGAGCACAGAGTGGCGCATGAGGGCGAAGAGGGCCGTGTGGTTGGCCGTCTTGAGCCCGAAGTGAATCTTGTGAGAGCTGGTGATGGGGAGGTGACAGTGGCAGGAGGTTACGAAGTAAGGAGGGGAGGGAGACACGGAGAGCACCTCGGGATCATCCACGAGCACGGAGTGACGCATGAGAGAGAAGAGGGCCGTGTGGTTGGTCGTCTTGAGCCCGAAGTGGACCTTGTGGGAGCTGGTGGTAGGAGAGTGGGTGGAAAGAGGGGGAAAGGAGGCATGTGGAGCACCTCGAAATCATCCCCGAGCACACACTGGTGCATGCGAGCGAAGAGGGCCCTGTGGTTGCACGTCTCGAGTGGAGAGACAAGGCATTAGAGTATTGTCAAAAGGAAATGAAAAATTGTCAACCGGTGTCCCCCCCAATGGCCAGGGGAATGTTGTGCGCAGACACTCACTCGCTCAACCACCCACTCACTCACTCACTCTTCCACCCACTCACTCACTCACTCACTCACTCACTCACTCACTCACTCACTCACTCACTCACTCACTCACTCACTCACCCACTCACCCACTCACTCACTCACTCACTCACTCACTCTCTCACTCTCTCACTCACTCACTCACTCACTCACTCACTCACTCACTCACTCACTCACCCACTCACTTTCACTCACTCACTCACTCACTCACTCACCCACTCGCTTTCACTCACTCACTCACTCACCCACTCACTCACTCACTCACTCACCCAGTACTAATGGCCATGGGAATGTTGTGCGCATACACGCACTCACTCACTCACTCACTCACGCACTCACTCATCCACTCACTCACTCACCCAGAGCCAATGGCCATGGGAATGTTGTGCGCATGCACGCACTCACTCACTCACTCACTCACCCGGTGCCAATGGCCATGGGAATGTTGTGCGCATGCACGCACTCACTCACTCACTCACTCACTCACCCGGTGCCAATGGCCATGGGAATGTTGTGCGCATGCACGCACTCACTCACTCACTCACTCACTCACCCAGTACTAATGGCCATGGGAATGTTGTGCGCATGCACGCACTCACTCACTCACTCACTCACTCACCCAGTACTAATGGCCATGGGAATGTTGTGCGCATACACGCACTCACTCACTCACTCACTCACGCACTCACTCATCCACTCACTCACTCACCCAGAGCCAATGGCCATGGGAATGTTGTGCGCATGCACGCACTCACTCACTCACTCACTCACCCGGTGCCAATGGCCATGGGAATGTTGTGCGCATGCACGCACTCACTCACTCACTCACTCACTCACCCAGTACTAATGGCCATGGGAATGTTGTGCGCATAAACGCACTCACTCACTCACTCACTCACGCACTCACTCATCCACTCACTCACTCACCCAGAGCCAATGGCCATGGGAATGTTGTGCGCATGCACGCACTCACTCACTCACTCACTCACCCGGTGCCAATGGCCATGGGAATGTTGTGCGCATGCACGCACTCACTCACTCACTCACTCACCCAGTACTAATGGCCATGGGAATGTTGTGCGCATGCACGCACTCACTCACTCACTCACTCACCCAGTACTAATGACCATGGGAATGTTGTGCGCATGCACGCACTCACTCACTCACTCACTCACGCACTCACTCATCCACTCACTCACTCACCCAGAGCCAATGGCCATGGGAATGTTGTGCGCATGCACGCACTCATCCACTCACTCACTCACCCGGTGCCAATGGCCATGGGAATGTTGTGCGCATGCAGATGCCGAATCAACCGCTCCGCTCCTGACAACAAACACGATGATGGAAAAGTAGAGCGAGAGAGGTTACGAAAGTAGGTTGGAAGAGAGGTTTGGGAGAGTGGTTGGGAGTTCAAGGTAATGCTTCAAGGGTTTGATAAATATAAGGAGGCATGAGAGAAGACTTGGGGCGCAAGGGGTCTCCCATGCCGCGCAGAGTCAACTTGTCCAAACTACTGCTGTCAACTTCTCTCAGCCACTCTCAACCACTCTCAACCACTCTCAACCGCTCTCAACTGCTCCAGCCGCCCTCAACCGCTCTCAGCCACTCTCAACCGCTCTCAACCGCCCTCCCTACCTGGCAGCAGCTTGCAGTGGGGGAGCTCCTCCCTCAGAAGATTCTTCCTCTCCTTTAAAAACTCCTCCGCACTCATCTCCCCTTCCAGCCCCAGCTCCTCTATCACCACCTTTGCTGCCTCTGCCGCCTTCAACAACTCTCAACCGCTCTCAAACATGCTTCACCGCTCTTGACCGCTCTCAACCACACTCATCCACTCTCCACACCTGGCAGCAGCTTGCAGTGGGGGAACTCCTCCCTCAGAAGATTCTACCTTTCCTTTAAAAACTCCTCCGCGCTCATCTCCCCCTGCAGCCCCAGCTCCTCTATCACCACCTTTGCAGCCGCAACTCCTCTGAACCGTTTCGACTGTTCTCAACCGCTCTCAACCGCCCTCAACCACTTCCATCCGCTGTCTCTCCATACCTGGCAGCAGCTTGCAGTGGGGGAACTCCTCCCTCAGAAGATTCTCCCTCTCCCTCAGAAACTCCTCCGCGCTCATCTCCCCTTCCAGCCCCAGCTCCTCTATCACCACCTTTGCCGCCTCTGCAGCCTTCTTGCCCATCATCTTGACCTTGAGCGCCCACGTGAACTCGCGGTTGAACCGCGACAGAATGCGCTGCTGGGCCACCGTGTACAGACCCTCAGTGTCTGGCGGAAGAGATAGGGGGACAGGGAGACAGGGGGACAGGGAGAAGGGGAAGGGGGCAGTGGGGCAGGGGGAGAGGGGGGAGAGGGGGGCCAAGGGGGAGTAGAGGAGAGCGAGTTTGGCAGCGTGGTTGGATCAAGGGGGGATAGGAGGCGCCTCTGTGGCCTTCTTGCCCATCATCTTGACCTTGAGCGGCCACGTGAACGCGCGGTTGAATCGCGACAGAATGCGCTGCTGGGCCACCGAGTACAGACCCTCGGTGTCTGTGGGAAGAGGGGAGGGGGTGGTGGGGGAGAAGGGGAGTGATGGGGGGAGAGGGGGGACAAGAAGGGCAATTGCGCTGCTCGGATGCCGCGTACAAACCCTTGGTGTCTGGAAGACGAGATTGCGGGGACAGGGGACAGGAATCCTCAGAGCCGAGTTGACTTTTGAGTCGACTCAAAATGAGTTGACTTTTCAGTCGACTCAAAAGTCAACAGACCCTCGGTGTCTGGAAGACGAGATTGTGGGGACAGGGGACAGGAATCCTCAGAGCCGAGTTGACTTTTGAGTCGACTCAAAATGAGTTGACTTTTCAGTCGACTGAAAAGTCAACAGACCGTCGGTGTCTGGAAGATGAGATTGTGGGGCCAGGGGACAGGATTCCTCAGAGCCGAGTTGACTTTTGAGTCGACTCAAAATGAGTTGACTTTTCAGTCGACTCAAAAGTCAACAGACCCTCGGTGTCTGGAAGACGAGATTGTGGGGCCAGGGGACAGGATTCCTCAGAGCCGAGTTCTTTCCATGTCGAAGCAGTACTACGAGTCGCTGGAGATCTCAAGGTTCAACTCGCCGTGAAAGAGGAGTCCATGTAACCCCGTTGTAAGCTTTGAGGCGCCTCAAAACTATACGAGTCGCTGGAGATCTCAAGGTTCAACTCGCCGAGAATGAGGAGTCCATGTAACCCCGTTGTAAGCTGCCTCGAGGCCCTGCTATGAGCCGTTACGGGCTGGGCTTTAACGCACCGAGAATGAGGCCGTCCATATGGAAGATGACGTGTGTGATGCGACTCGAGGCTCATGGTATGAGTTTTTATGAGCCGTTGGGAGCCGTTATGATCCGCTGCTACGCGTCAACGCACCAACACGATTCAACGCACCGAGAACGAGGCCGTCCATGTCGAAAATGACGTGCGTGATGCGACGCGCCCATGGTATGAGCCTTATGAGCCGTTACGAGCCGCCATCACGCTTCAGCTCACCGAGAATGAGGCCGTCCATGTCGAAGATGACGTGCGTGATGCGACGGGCAACCGCCGCTTGCTCCCCCATTGCGACCCAGCACCAGCAGACGAAAAACAAGACTTTCAGTGCAATGCGAGACCCGATTCGTGGTTATCAACTGGCCGGGTACCGATCCGATCCGACCCAGGGACCTCAGATTGTTTCAGGCTCGACCTGACGTAGAATGCTAAATCGATCACAAAGCCTTCTATTAGTAATGCTGCCGAAGCATGATCACGGGGAAAACCCAACTCTTGCGCAGTTGACCTCAGTTTCGTGAAGGGCGTGTACTGTGAAGTGTACCTTGACAAAAAACACAGCTGGATGCTACTGCGGTCATCGTCACAGGCAAAGAGTATTTTCTCGACACACATGGTAGTGTTGTGGGTTTCAGATCAAGTTCGGAGCCTGACCCGAGTTCCACGCCCTAGGCTCATAAACCTCGACAAAAGCTGGTCCGTCATTTTGTTCGGAAAGACTAATTGTATGTTGGTTTGTGTAAATTTCTATATGAACATACTGAAAGCACGCCTACGTGTCGCTTTTCTGTTGAAATGTTTTTGTGATCTTACTGACGCACTCGCTTCTGTCAAAGGGAGGTACCCACGTGGTATTTTCCCGCCAAAACTCTGCCACCTCTCAGCCGTTCACCTTCGCTAACTGTCGTGAGATGAGATTTCGGAACTGGATTTCGCTAGAGCGAGACGACGCATTTTCCATGCGGTAACCGGACGTCGCGAAAGCATCAGAGCCTCCTCCCCAACTTTCTCGCCTCCCCACCCCAGCCCGCCATTTTTGGTGGATCCCAGTAGTAGCCTGTCGCTAGTGCTACTGCTACTGGTTCCTAAATTACAGTACGGTTCTTCGGAGATTTTTTGTCGTTGGTTTCCGATCTTTGGCAGTCGCTGCAACGCTCTCCTCTAACGGTAGTTCGTAGTCTAGTGCCGCGGTTTTTGCATCTTGCCCTCTAGATTGGTCTGGCCTACTCTTTCAGACCGCGTTTCCGTAGCTAGGGCTGTCACACCGCCGATCGTTTCTGCTATAAGCTGCTAATTGCGCGGCCCGCTCGGAATGGGTTGACAACGTTCCGCAGCCATTGCTCCGTGGTTGAAGTTACGTTGTAATCCAATCTACGTACCACCGGACCTAGTTCCTAAACGAGGGCATTTATCACCTAACCACGTCGAATATAGTGCTGGATGGCATACACTCAAATGGACTCGTGATCCCTTGTCCCGTTGTCCCTGATCCAACCACAAAAACCACGTCACTCTAATCTTCACGCTCCACGATGTTCGGAATCGACTTTAGCGCGTGGGTGCCGTCGCCGCCTCCGGAGCACGCGTTTTCAGGCACCCCCGCGGTGGTGGTGTCGCTAGTATGCACGGTGTTCGCCGTGTTTCTCTCCGTACGCCACATCGTCATGCACCTCCGTAACTACACCGAGCCCACGTACCAGCGTTACATCGTCCGGATCATCTTCATGGTCCCCGTACGTACGCTCGCGCTTTGGTTGGTCCGAACTGAACGTGTCCAGGTCATCTCATTGACATATAAGCTAACCCCCGTTGACCTCCCCGGGGTTCCATCCTAGCAATATTTAACTACCCCGGATATTTCGAATCACTGGACATTCGGGAATTGTCAGGCGTTTAGGCTGATATCTGGATTGTTTGTTTTGCCTTGCGCCAGGTGTACGCGACAATGTCATTCGGCGCTCTCGTTATGAGCGACTACGCCATGTACTTCAACACGATACGCGACGTGTGAGTATGGTGCTCGTGTGTTGTTAATGTTGTGTGAGTGGGGGTCTTCGCGTGGACTGCGCGTGCTCTATGTATCGTGATGCGGTGATAATCGCGTGGAACCTTGGCAACACAATGCGGAAACCGCAACCCGAGTTGCGGCTTCCGCAGAATCCTCTCCAGCCTCTCCTGCGTGGGGGGGACAGGCGCCGTGGCGACCATGCACCCTGAATTCCCGCCGGATCTCTCTCTCCCTCTCCCTTACCCCTGTGACTTTTGAGTCGACTCTAAAATCTTCTGCGTGGGAGGGACAGGCGCCGTGGCGGCCGTGAACCCTGAATTCTCGCCGGAACTCTCTCTCCCTCTCCCGTACCCCTCCCCCCTCCCAGTCTATCCTCATTCCCCCTCCCCCCACTCCGTCTAACCTCTTCCTCTGTTTCCCCCACCCTAAACTTTCAACAGCTACGAGGCGTGGGGGATCTACAACTTCCTCTCCCTCTGCCTCTCCTGGGTGGGCGGGTCAGGCGCCGTGGTCACCTTCAGCCTCCAATCCCGCTCACTCCCTCCCCTAGCAACCCCAATGAGTTGACTTTTGAGTCGACTCAAAAGGCGCCGTGGTCACCTTCAACCTCCGATCCCGCTCACTCCCTCCTCTCCCAAACCCAATGCCTCCCCCCCTCTCTGCCCTCGTCTCCCCTTCTCTCTCCCCTCTCAACAGCTACGAGGCGTGGGTGATTTACAACTTCCTCTCGCTCTGCCTCTCCTGGGTGGGAGGACCGGGCGCCGTGGTGACGAGTCTAACAGGGCGGCTGCTGAAACCCTCCTACCTGCTCATGACCTGCTGCTTCCCGCCCATCCCCCTCGACGGGTGAGTGGTAATGTTGAGAGGGCGAGTACAGAAGAGACAGATCAGTACCCAAAGAGAGCGGTGTGTGGTGACCACAGGTCGACTGCTCAAGCCGTCCTACCTGCTCATGACCTGCTGCATTCCGCCCATTCCCCTGGGACAAGTGAGTGCTGATGAGACATGTGAATGTGCTGCTTCTCTCAGGACTTGTCTGCACGCCATAGCCTCTAACCATACCCTTTCTCCACCCACCCTCCCGCTCCCCCTCCCCCTCTCCCTCCCCCTCCCTCTCCCTCTCCCCTTCCCCGTCCCCCTCCCCCTCCCTCCCACCACAACAGTCGCTTCATCCGGAGGTGCAAGCAGGGCTGTCTGCAGTTCGTGTACTTAAAGCCCATCCTGGCGGCCACCTGCCTGTGCCTCTACTACTACGGCCTCTACGAGGACGGCAACTTCGCCCTCTCAGACGGCTACATCTACATCACCTGCATCTACATGGCCTCTCTCTTCCCCTCACACCATACCCTTTCTCCACCCCGCTTCCCCCTTCCCCTCCCCATTCCCATCCCCTCTCCCCTCCCCCTCCCCCTCCCCCTCCGCCTCCCCCCGTCAGTCGCTTCATACGGAGGTGCAAGCAGGGCTGTCTGCAGTTCGTGTACTTAAAGCCCATCCTGGCGGCCACCTGCCTGTGCCTCTACTACTACGGCCTCTACGAGGACGGCAACTTCGCCCTCTCAGACGGCTACATCTACATCACCTGCATCTACATGGCGTCTTATTCTGTCGCGATTTACGCTCTTATTCTCTTCTACGTCGCGTGCCGGGAGCTGCTTCGCTCGTTCAACCCCGTGCCCAAGTTCCTGATGATCAAGGCCGTGGTGTTCCTGACCTACTGGCAGGTGAGGATGGGTCTGATGTGGTTGCTGGTGGTAGAAGCAGGTGGCAGTCGGTAGCAGTCAGTGAGCTGCTGCGCTCTTTTAATCCCATGCCCAAGTTTTTGATGATCAAGGCTGTGGTTTTCCTGACCTACTGGCAGGTGAGGATGGGTCCGGAGTGGTTGCTGGTGGTAGGTAGCAGTGCGGTAGCAGTAGGTAGCAGTGCGGTAGCAGTAGGTAGCAAGAGCAGACTCAGCGGTCATCTGCGCCCTCTCAGACGGCTACATCTACATCACATGCATCTTCATGGCCTCCTATTCGGTTGCCATCTATGCGCTTATTCTCTTCTACGTCGCGTGTCGGGAGCTCCTTCGCTCGTTCAATCCGGTTCCCAAGTTCCTGATGATCAAGGCCGTGGTGTTCCTGACCTACTGGCAGGTGAGGATGGGTCTGATGTGGTTGCTGGTGGTAGAAGCAGGTGGCAGTCGGTAGCAGTCAGTGTGCTGCTTCGCTCCTTTAACCCCGTGCCCAAGTTCCTGACGATCAAAGCAGTGGTGTTCCTGACCTACTGGTAGGTGTGAATGGGTCTGGACTGGTTAGGACTGGAGTCATCATGCTACAGTAGTAGCAGCTCGTAGCAAGGGTAGGTAGACTCAATAGTCTTGTTGTGCCATGAGCTGCTTCGCTCCTTCAATCCCGTTTGCTTTAACCCCGTGTGCTGTTGAGTCGACTCAAAAGCTCCTTCAGCCCGGTGCCCAAGTTCCTGATGATCAAAGCAGTGGTCTTCCTGACCTACTGGTAGGTGAGGATGGGTCTGGTGCTGGGTGGGACTGGAGTCATCACGCTACAGTAGTAGCAGCAGGTAGCAAGGTAGACCTGTAGCAAGGGTAGGTAGACCCAATGGTCTTGTGATGATCACAGGGGTGGTCGTCCTGACCTACTGGTAGGTGAGGATGGGTCTGGTGCTGGTGGTTGCAGTGGGTAGCAGGGGCAGCAATGGGTGAGGATGGGTCTGGTGCTGGTGGTTGCAGTGGGTAGCAGGGGCAGCAATGGGTGAGGATGGGTGTGGTGCTGGTGGTTGCAGTGGGTAGCAGGGGCAGCAATGGGTGAGGATGGGTCGGGTGCTGGTGGTTGCAGTGGGTAGCAGGGGCAGCAATGGGTGAGGATGGGTCTAGTGCTGGTGGTTGCAGTGGGTAGCAGGGGCAGCAATGGGTGAGGATGGGTGTGGTGCTGGTGGTTGCAGTGGGTAGCAGGGGCAGCAATGGGTGAGGATGGGTGTGGTGCTGGTGGTTGCAGTGGGTAGCAGGGGCAGCAATGGGTGAGGATGGGTGTGGTGCTGGTGGTTGCAGTGGGTAGCAGGGGCAGCAATGGGTGAGGATGGGTCTGGTGCTGGTGGTTGCAGTGGGTAGCAGGGGCAGCAATGGGTGAGGATGGGTCGGGTGCTGGTGGTTGCAGTGGGTAGCAGGGGCAGCAATGGGTGAGGATGGGTCTGGTGCTGGTGGTTGCAGTGGGTAGCAGGGGCAGCAATGGGTGAGGATGGGTGTGGTGCTGGTGGTTGCAGTGGGTAGCAGGGGCAGCAATGGGTGAGGATGGGTGTGGTGCTGGTGGTTGCAGTGGGTAGCAGGGGCAGCAATGGGTGAGGATGGGTGTGGTGCTGGTGGTTGCAGTGGGTAGCAGGGGCAGCAATGGGTGAGGATGGGTCTGGTGCTGGTGGTTGCAGTGGGTAGCAGGGGCAGCAATGGGTGAGGATGGGTCGGGTGCTGGTGGTTGCAGTGGGTAGCAGGGGCAGCAATGGGTGAGGATGGGTCTGGTGCTGGTGGTTGCAGTGGGTAGCAGGGGCAGCAATGGGTGAGGATGGGTGTGGTGCTGGTGGTTGCAGTGGGTAGCAGGGGCAGCAATGGGTGAGGATGGGTGTGGTGCTGGTGGTTGCAGTGGGTAGCAGGGGCAGCAATGGGTGAGGATGGGTGTGGTGCTGGTGGTTGCAGTGGGTAGCAGGGGCAGCAATGGGTGAGGATGGGTGTGGTGCTGGTGGTTGCAGTGGGTAGCAGGGGCAGCAATGGGTGAGGATGGGTCTGGTGCTGGTGGTTGCAGTGGGTAGCAGGGGCAGCAATGGGTGAGGATGGGTCTGGTGCTGGTGGTTGCAGTGGGTAGCAGGGGCAGCAATGGGTGAGGATGGGTGTGGTGCTGGTGGTTGCAGTGGGTAGCAGGGGCAGCAATGGGTGAGGATGGGTGTGGTGCTGGTGGTTGCAGTGGGTAGCAGGGGCAGCAATGGGTGAGGATGGGTGTGGTGCTGGTGGTTGCAGTGGGTAGCAGGGGCAGCAATGGGTGAGGATGGGTCTGGTGCTGGTGGTTGCAGTGGGTAGCAGGGGCAGCAATGGGTGAGGATGGGTCTGGTGCTGGTGGTTGCAGTGGGTAGCAGGGGCAGCAATGGGTGAGGATGGGTCTGGTGCTGGTGGTTGCAGTGGGTAGCAGGGGCAGCAATGGGTGAGGATGGGTGTGGTGCTGGTGGTTGCAGTGGGTAGCAGGGGCAGCAATGGGTGAGGATGGGTCTAGTGCTGGTGGTTGCAGTGGGTAGCAGGGGCAGCAATGGGTGAGGATGGGTGTGGTGCTGGTGGTTGCAGTGGGTAGCAGGGGCAGCAATGGGTGAGGATGGGTGTGGTGCTGGTGGTTGCAGTGGGTAGCAGGGGCAGCAATGGGTGAGGATGGGTGTGGTGCTGGTGGTTGCAGTGGGTAGCAGGGGCAGCAATGGGTGAGGATGGGTCTGGTGCTGGTGGTTGCAGTGGGTAGCAGGGGCAGCAATGGGTGAGGATGGGTCGGTTGCTGGTGGTTGCAGTGGGTAGCAGGGGCAGCAATGGGTGAGGATGGGTCTGGTGCTGGTGGTTGCAGTGGGTAGCAGGGGCAGCAATGGGTGAGGATGGGTGTGGTGCTGGTGGTTGCAGTGGGTAGCAGGGGCAGCAATGGGTGAGGATGGGTGTGGTGCTGGTGGTTGCAGTGGGTAGCAGGGGCAGCAATGGGTGAGGATGGGTGTGGTGCTGGTGGTTGCAGTGGGTAGCAGGGGCAGCAATGGGTGAGGATGGGTGTGGTGCTGGTGGTTGCAGTGGGTAGCAGGGGCAGCAATGGGTGAGGATGGGTCTGGTGCTGGTGGTTGCAGTGGGTAGCAGGGGCAGCAATGGGTGAGGATGGGTCTGGTGCTGGTGGTTGCAGTGGGTAGCAGGGGCAGCAATGGGTGAGGATGGGTGTGGTGCTGGTGGTTGCAGTGGGTAGCAGGGGCAGCAATGGGTGAGGATGGGTGTGGTGCTGGTGGTTGCAGTGGGTAGCAGGGGCAGCAATGGGTGAGGATGGGTCGGGTGCTGGTGGTTGCAGTGGGTAGCAGGGGCAGCAATGGGTGAGGATGGGTCTAGTGCTGGTGGTTGCAGTGGGTAGCAGGGGCAGCAATGGGTGAGGATGGGTGTGGTGCTGGTGGTTGCAGTGGGTAGCAGGGGCAGCAATGGGTGAGGATGGGTCGGGTGCTGGTGGTTGCAGTGGGTAGCAGGGGCAGCAATGGGTGAGGATGGGTCTAGTGCTGGTGGTTGCAGTGGGTAGCAGGGGCAGCAATGGGTGAGGATGGGTGTGGTGCTGGTGGTTGCAGTGGGTAGCAGGGGCAGCAATGGGTGAGGATGGGTGTGGTGCTGGTGGTTGCAGTGGGTAGCAGGGGCAGCAATGGGTGAGGATGGGTGTGGTGCTGGTGGTTGCAGTGGGTAGCAGGGGCAGCAATGGGTGAGGATGGGTGTGGTGCTGGTGGTTGCAGTGGGTAGCAGGGGCAGCAATGGGTGAGGATGGGTGTGGTGCTGGTGGTTGCAGTGGGTAGCAGGGGCAGCAATGGGTGAGGATGGGTGTGGTGCTGGTGGTTGCAGTGGGTAGCAGGGGCAGCAATGGGTGAGGATGGGTCTGGTGCTGGTGGTTGCAGTGGGTAGCAGGGGCAGCAATGGGTGAGGATGGGTCTGGTGCTGGTGGTTGCAGTGGGTAGCAGGGGCAGCAATGGGTGAGGATGGGTGTGGTGCTGGTGGTTGCAGTGGGTAGCAGGGGCAGCAATGGGTGAGGATGGGTGTGGTGCTGGTGGTTGCAGTGGGTAGCAGGGGCAGCAATGGGTGAGGATGGGTGTGGTGCTGGTGGTTGCAGTGGGTAGCAGGGGCAGCAATGGGTGAGGATGGGTGTGGTGCTGGTGGTTGCAGTGGGTAGCAGGGGCAGCAATGGGTGAGGATGGGTGTGGTGCTGGTGGTTGCAGTGGGTAGCAGGGGCAGCAATGGGTGAGGATGGGTGTGGTGCTGGTGGTTGCAGTGGGTAGCAGGGGCAGCAATGGGTGAGGATGGGTGTGGTGCTGGTGGTTGCAGTGGGTAGCAGGGGCAGCAATGGGTGAGGATGGGTCTGGTGCTGGTGGTTGCAGTGGGTAGCAGGGGCAGCAATGGGTGAGGATGGGTCTGGTGCTGGTGGTTGCAGTGGGTAGCAGGGGCAGCAATGGGTGAGGATGGGTCTGGTGCTGGTGGTTGCAGTGGGTAGCAGGGGCAGCAATGGGTGAGGATGGGTGTGGTGCTGGTGGTTGCAGTGGGTAGCAGGGGCAGCAATGGGTGAGGATGGGTGTGGTGCTGGTGGTTGCAGTGGGTAGCAGGGGCAGCAATGGGTGAGGATGGGTCTGGTGCTGGTGGTTGCAGTGGGTAGCAGGGGCAGCAATGGGTGAGGATGGGTCTGGTGCTGGTGGTTGCAGTGGGTAGCAGGGGCAGCAATGGGTGAGGATGGGTCTGGTGCTGGTGGTTGCAGTGGGTAGCAGGGGCAGCAATGGGTGAGGATGGGTGTGGTGCTGGTGGTTGCAGTGGGTAGCAGGGGCAGCAATGGGTGAGGATGGGTGTGGTGCTGGTGGTTGCAGTGGGTAGCAGGGGCAGCAATGGGTGAGGATGGGTCGGGTGCTGGTGGTTGCAGTGGGTAGCAGGGGCAGCAATGGGTGAGGATGGGTCTAGTGCTGGTGGTTGCAGTGGGTAGCAGGGGCAGCAATGGGTGAGGATGGGTGTGGTGCTGGTGGTTGCAGTGGGTAGCAGGGGCAGCAATGGGTGAGGATGGGTCGGGTGCTGGTGGTTGCAGTGGGTAGCAGGGGCAGCAATGGGTGAGGATGGGTCTAGTGCTGGTGGTTGCAGTGGGTAGCAGGGGCAGCAATGGGTGAGGATGGGTGTGGTGCTGGTGGTTGCAGTGGGTAGCAGGGGCAGCAATGGGTGAGGATGGGTGTGGTGCTGGTGGTTGCAGTGGGTAGCAGGGGCAGCAATGGGTGAGGATGGGTGTGGTGCTGGTGGTTGCAGTGGGTAGCAGGGGCAGCAATGGGTGAGGATGGGTGTGGTGCTGGTGGTTGCAGTGGGTAGCAGGGGCAGCAATGGGTGAGGATGGGTGTGGTGCTGGTGGTTGCAGTGGGTAGCAGGGGCAGCAATGGGTGAGGATGGGTGTGGTGCTGGTGGTTGCAGTGGGTAGCAGGGGCAGCAATGGGTGAGGATGGGTCTGGTGCTGGTGGTTGCAGTGGGTAGCAGGGGCAGCAATGGGTGAGGATGGGTCTGGTGCTGGTGGTTGCAGTGGGTAGCAGGGGCAGCAATGGGTGAGGATGGGTGTGGTGCTGGTGGTTGCAGTGGGTAGCAGGGGCAGCAATGGGTGAGGATGGGTGTGGTGCTGGTGGTTGCAGTGGGTAGCAGGGGCAGCAATGGGTGAGGATGGGTGTGGTGCTGGTGGTTGCAGTGGGTAGCAGGGGCAGCAATGGGTGAGGATGGGTGTGGTGCTGGTGGTTGCAGTGGGTAGCAGGGGCAGCAATGGGTGAGGATGGGTGTGGTGCTGGTGGTTGCAGTGGGTAGCAGGGGCAGCAATGGGTGAGGATGGGTGTGGTGCTGGTGGTTGCAGTGGGTAGCAGGGGCAGCAATGGGTGAGGATGGGTGTGGTGCTGGTGGTTGCAGTGGGTAGCAGGGGCAGCAATGGGTGAGGATGGGTCTGGTGCTGGTGGTTGCAGTGGGTAGCAGGGGCAGCAATGGGTGAGGATGGGTCTGGTGCTGGTGGTTGCAGTGGGTAGCAGGGGCAGCAATGGGTGAGGATGGGTCTGGTGCTGGTGGTTGCAGTGGGTAGCAGGGGCAGCAATGGGTGAGGATGGGTGTGGTGCTGGTGGTTGCAGTGGGTAGCAGGGGCAGCAATGGGTGAGGATGGGTCTGGTGCTGGTGGTTGCAGTGGGTAGCAGGGGCAGCAATGGGTGAGGATGGGTCTGGTGCTGGTGGTTGCAGTGGGTAGCAGGGGCAGCAATGGGTGAGGATGGGTGTGGTGCTGGTGGTTGCAGTGGGTAGCAGGGGCAGCAATGGGTGAGGATGGGTCTGGTGCTGGTGGTTGCAGTGGGTAGCAGGGGCAGCAATGGGTGAGGATGGGTCTGGTGCTGGTGGTTGCAGTGGGTAGCAGGGGCAGCAATGGGTGAGGATGGGTGTGGTGCTGGTGGTTGCAGTGGGTAGCAGGGGCAGCAATGGGTGAGGATGGGTGTGGTGCTGGTGGTTGCAGTGGGTAGCAGGGGCAGCAATGGGTGAGGATGGGTCTGGTGCTGGTGGTTGCAGTGGGTAGCAGGGGCAGCAATGGGTGAGGATGGGTCTGGTGCTGGTGGTTGCAGTGGGTAGCAGGGGCAGCAATGGGGCAAACTTTCTAAAGCTTCCTCCCCTCTCTCGCTCCCCATCCTCTCTCCCTCCCCTTCCTCTCTCCCTCCCCTCACTCTATCAGGGCGTGTTGGTCTTCATAGTGGCGCAGATGGGCTACGTGAGCAGCGCGGAGGACGCAGGGCTACGTCACTTCCCCAGGGAGTGCTGGTGTTCATAGTGGCGCAACTAGGTTATGTACACAGTGCAGAGGACGCGGCAGACCTACAGAACGTGCTCATCTGCACTCCCCTCTCTCACCCTCTCCCCTCTCTCCTCTCACTCCCTCAGGGAGTGCTGGTGTTCATAGTGGCGCAACTAGGTTATGTACACAGTGCAGAGGACGCGGCAGACCTGCAGAACGTGCTCATCTGCGCGGAGATGGTGCTGGGCGCGCTGGGCTTTATGCTCGCCTTCCCCTTCAAGCCGTTCCTGCAGGCCAATGTGGCCATGAACGGCGAGCAGGCGGGGCTGCTGAGGTCTATTAAGCATGCCATCAACCTCACAGACGTTGTCAGCGACACTGTTCACCAGGTGAGAAAGCATTGCTCACTAGGTGAGCTGGTGGTGACCATGTAATGGCCATGAACAGAGAGCAGGTGGGGACTGCTGCGATCCTTTAAACATGCCATCAACCTCACAGACGTTGTCAGCGACACTGTTCACCAGGTGAGCTGGTTACCCGGTAACTGTGTTCACCAGGTGAGTCAGTTATGTGTCATGTTACCTGGTTACCAGTTGCTTCTGAGATCCGTCAATCATGCCATCAACCTCCCAGACATCGTTGTCAGTGACACTGTTTCAAAGTGGCATTGTTCACTTGGTTAGTGAGAAAGCACTGTTCACCAGGCGAGGGAAAGAGGGAAAGAGGGAAAGAGGGAAAGAGGGAGAGAGGGATAGAGGGAGAGAGGGAGAGAGGGAGAGACGGAGAGAGGGAGAGAGGGAGAGAGGGAGAGAGGGAGAGATGGTTTTTGAGAATTCTCAAAAACCACAAAGTGGCATTGATCACTTGGTTAGTGAGAAAGCACCGTTCACTAGGCGAGGGAAAGAGGGAAAGAGATGACGTTGACATGAGTAGATTGGTCATTCTCACTCACCTTTCTCCCTCCCTCGCATCTTCTCTTCCCACCTCCCCGCACAGTTCGCCCCCACTTACCACGGCTATGTGCTCTACAGCGATGGTACAGGGGAGAGGGGGATAGAGAGAGACGCCTGGGTTGATGGTCCGTACGTCATTCCCTCCCACCTTTATCTCCCCACCCGCAGTTCGCCCCCACCTACCACGACTACATGCTTTACAGGGACGGCGCGGGAGAGAAACACATAGCTGGCTGAATTTCCCCCTTTATTCCCCCTTTATTCCCCCTTTATTCCCCCTTTATTCCCCCTTTATTCCCCCTTTATTCCCCCTTGCTCTAGTCCCTTTTCACACTTGCCTGTCCCCCTTGCAGTTCGCCCCCACCTACCATGACTATGTGCTCTACAGCGACGGCACAGGGGAGACCCACCATTACCGCACGCGCACCTGGGTTGGTGATCCGTACATCATCCCTACCCTTCTCTTTCTCCCCATCCCTATTCCCCTGCAGTTCGCCCCCACCTACCATGACTATGTGCTCTACAGAGACGGCACGGGGGAGAGGGGGGGAGGGAGACACACCTGGCTTGGTGATCCCTGCATCATCCCTACCCTTGTCTCCGCCCCTATTCCCCTGCAGTTCGCCCCCACCTACCATGACGATGTGCTCTACAGCGACGGCACGGGGGAGACCCACCACTACCGCACACGCACCTGGGTTGGTGATTCATACATCATTCCTACCCTTCTCCCCATCCCCATTCCCATGCAGTTCGCCCCCACCTACCATGACTATGTGCTCTACAGCGATGGCACGGGGGAGACCCACCACTACCGCACACGCACCTTCGTGCCCTCAGGTGTGTTTCTGTGTCCTCTCAGGTGTGTTTCTGTGTCCTCTCAGGTGTGTTTTCGTGTCCTCTCACGTGTGTTTCTGTGTCCTCTCAGGTGTGTTTCTGTGTCCTCGGGTGTGTTTCTGTGTCCTCTGGTGTGTTTCTGTGTCCTCGGGTGTGTTTCTGTGTCCTCAGGTGTGTTTCTGTTCGTTCAAGTGGAAATTTGTTCCCTCAGGTGTGTTTCCGTATCCTTACCACCCCTCCCGATACCTCTGATCGCAGGGAGGGAGATGGAGTCGTGTCGGCGCTCGGCCAGTGGCAGCAGCCAGCCGCACCACTTCACAGACCTGGAGGCCCTCTCCACCTCCGACCGCCCTGCTGGGCCCACAGGGATGGCCTCTCAGGGTGCTGCTGTTGACTCTGCTGATTCTTTTCTCTCAGAAGCGCAGCTTATTTCGACAGAGAATGCAGACGGGAAACTGGGGAGTGGAGGGAAAGACAGTGGGGCTGCTGGGGGGGTGGGGGGCACGGTGGGTGTGGCGTTGTCTGGCGGCGCGTCTTTGGCTGCGAGGTTAGCTGCAGCGTTTTCTGCAGCGGCCGATATGTCGTCAGCGGTTGATTCGACGGAAGCGAATGATCCCACGTCGGCTCCGCTGGGCTTCACTCTCTCATCTTCGAGTGCTCCGGGGGGAGGCTTTGTGGAGATGGAAGAAGAGTTGGAGCAGCAGCCTCACCACCACCAGCAGTTGAAACAGCAGCAGGAGTGGGAGCGGGAGGAGCGGGAGCGGGAGCAGCAGGGGCAGCAGGCGGAGGTGGGGATTCTACGGGAAGCGATGGAGAAAATGGGGATGGTTTCGCCACCTTCTAGAGGTGGGATGAAGCCGTATGGAGCTTCGGCCGAGCCTGGCGATGGTGACGATCCTACGCCGATCACGTCGCGGAATCCGAACCTGGGCACGCCGAAGCTGATGCCAACTGCCACACCACCGCCACTCCCGCCTCCACCTTCGGCGGGAGGTTCGCCGGACCTAAGAAAGGAAGGTGTAGGAACACCGACCCTCGGCAGTGTGACAATAAAGGGGTCTCCATTTTCTGGAGGTAGGGTTTCTGAAATGGTTCCCTTGCAAGGGATGGGGCAAGGGGGCAGCACTGGAAGTAGTCCTGCTGTTTCAGCAGGAATTGGCAGTGCAGGGGAGATGGACAAGCTTATGCTAGATATGGACCAACAATAGCTTGCTATAGAATTGATTATGTACCTCATGTATTTGGCCTAATAGGAAGCCAAATTAATGAAGATTTTGAGCTGGTGTTAGTATTTGTGTACCAATTTTCGTGTACTCCACCTTTGCCTACACGCACTTCTCGTATACCACCGTGTACTTCTCAAATGTCATTCTGAGGCCTGTAGAGCGTACGTAGTGCTGCCATCTCCGATTTCGAATGCGAACTTGAACATTCGAATTCAAATTCCAAATGCTGCCTGCTGCTGAATCGCGAAGCGCAAGCAGCCACTTTATTCGGTACAGCTACCCTAAATCGTACGATGCTTCTAGGTGCATCCAATGGGCACTCTCGCTGTTTTAAAGTGTACAGATTGCCGTTGAGTCTCAGAAAAAACACAGGATTCTACGACAGTCGTCCTCCCTTCAGTACAGAATCTCGCAAGGTTTACGTAAGTTCGAATATTCTCAAAGAAACTTAGGATGTCAGGGTTGAGAGCTCAAATTTTAGGAAAGACACGCAGGCCGCAACCCCCCCTCAACAAACTGTCTCTGCATGCCATTGATGGTGCTGCATGTGAAAAGTTTCTCAACAGTTGGCTACTTCAGTCCCCCTTCTCCCCAAGTCCAAAACATTCCCGTGAAGCTCCACCCCCAATCACCTCGTTCTCCTTCTAGCATTAACCTTATTTTAATCACCTCGTCCCCTGCTTTCGTTCTGCTAGGTTCGCGACGTTTGACGTTGAAGCGATACTCGCATCTCCATTGTTGTTAAATAGGTGCTAACCGTTCAGTTTCTCAGCACATTGACGAGTGTCTTCAGTAATCTCAAGCTAGAGGCGCCATGGCAAGACCAGGAGCTAAGAAGCGCGTGAAGAGCGCGGAGCCGACAGTCATGCGTCGAGCTCCTGATGGCAGTGCCTTTCTCACTTGGTAAAGACTGATATTGTAACGGAGTTATGATCCGCCGAAATGTAACACTATTCTACACACGCAACAGCATCCGTTTCTCCCGTCGTTAATATTCCTAACATTAAAGAACCCGTTTTTTGTCGGTAATTCGTTTGGAAATTCGTGTGTCTGGCAGTGAAGCGTGCAACTCCAAGGTGCCGGTTGCCACGGCGGACATGCACTCGTGCGAGAACGACGCCGCTTTCAAAGACACCCTCGGTGAGTGGTCTCGCGTGGGCTCGATTCATACTACTTCTTGACGCGCCTCACAAGATGGCGGGCATGCACTCGTGCGAGAACGACGCTGCGTTACAAGCCGCCCGGCCTCAATGCCAATCTCCTTCCCCACTCGGTACCAAACTCCTTGGAGTAAAGGTTTCTCAAAGGATCGATTTGAAAAGTCACGTGGCTTGTTCAGATGCAAATGACAGAAGAGTTTTCTCAGAACTCGCCTCTTTCAATTGTTGGTGTTCTTTCATAATCATTTTGGTCAGTCACGCTAATGCTCTCGCATGGATGACTTTAACCGTCGTGTCTTTCTTACCAAATGCATGGCAGAGCGTTTGCGCCTGGAATTTCGAGAGCGGATGGCAGAGGAAGCCGCTGCGAAGTACGTTTCAACTCATCAGTTTCAACATGTTTTCTTGCTGATTACGGCGTGTCGGTTTGAACATAACTGCGACTCTGTTCCAAGTGTCTCCGGCCTCAATCAATTTACGGTTCTTTTTTTACAGGAAGCAGAAAGCTGAGGAGAAGCAGCAGAAGTCCAAGCCCGCCAAGGAGGAGAAGCAGCAGAAGCGGAAAGCCGAAAAAGACCCCAACGCTCCCAAGAAACCAACAACCGCCTACTTCCTGTTCTTGTACGTCCCGCCATTTTCGCCTGTTTCCAATACTCCTCATAGGCGTGCTTTCGTGCACCATTCCATGGACCGTGGTTCGACTGGGCCTGAGGCTTCACCACTCTAGGCGCTTCGGTTGCGGGATTTAAGGGTTGACGCGGTCTTGGAGCGTGTTGTTCTGTGATTTGCAGAGAAGATTTTCGGAAGCAATACAAGGAGGAACATCCCGAATCGAAGGGCGTCACAGAGGTGCGTTTCTCTCCCCCAGCAGCCATAGTCACGGGATTTTGTCATTGTTTGGTTCCTTCCATTGTGATGTTTTTCGCCTCTTATGCAAATTTGTTGTGCGAAACATGCAGATGAGCAAAGCGGCTGGTCTCAAATGGAAGAGCTTGACTGAAGAGGTGCGATCTAACGCTTATGCTCCCTAACTTCTGTTAGCTTGAAGTTCAACTTATGTCTGCCCATCCGAATGCACGCTCACCTGCTGTTGCCTTGAGTGTCCCTGATGATTCTTCCCTGAATTTGCAGGAAAAAGAGGTGTACAATAAGGGAGCCTCAGAGCGCAAGAAAGCATATGAGGCGCAATTAGAAGAATACAACATGGTAAGGCAATATGCAAAGTCAACATGTAACCTGGATTGTGTTCTTGAATTAATGCATAAACAAAGTCGTGTCATCCATTTCTTTTGCAGCAATCCAGGGTGGAGGGTGTTGGGGACACTGAGGATGACGATGAGAAGCAAGAAGAGGCACCAAAGCCTGCAAAGAAAAAGCGACTTGTGTCCAAGAAAACTGAAGAGGTGAGAGGAAAGAGAATCATTTACTAAAATAGTCACTAGCTAGTTTTACTCGCTGCTTTCAATCGAACACATTCAGGAATGACCATGTTTATTTTTTTGCATCACAGGATGAGACATTGAATGAGGAACTTCAAGATGACATTGCAGATTAGTCGTGATTCAGGGGAACCAGCGTATTTTTTCCCCGCTATCGCAACTGACTTATTCTCTGTATTGTGGTTTTTTTTCTTCTCATATAGTACAGCACTCACTGCTTTTAGTATGTATTAGCTAGTGGTTAGGTTCTTGATCTCGTGTGATAACGAGTGTGTTCTTAATGTGTAAGAAGCGTTGCTCGTGCAATGTGTGATGCTCGTCGTCACGAAGCTGTGCTGCTGACGTGGATGTGCACCAGCAGGGATGCTGAGTGATATTTTCTGACCGGTCAGCCTTGGTTCTTCTTTGTGGTGTGGCAAGGAGAGGACTTAGAGGAGATTCCGAAATCCGTAATCTACAAAAACCTGGAACTTAGGCCGGTCAGCTCACAAAAGCAAATGTTTAGAAATGGATGCGGCTTGGCATTCCGACAATCTCTTGGGTTGCGTTGATTGGCCCAAGCCTTCTCAACCTGATGTTCCCGCCATACAAGGCCAAAACGGGCTCGGAAAGAAGGTTCGGTGTGACAGAGCTGGCTTGGTTGAGTCGCGTCGCTTGATCAGCGGGTGAGACACCACGAGCTCGCCCAAGCCAGCACAACGCTGCCCTGGTCTCGCTGAACCTGGTTTGAATTCCTTCCTGCGTGCGTGGCTTGGGTCACAGCCAGGGAGCCGTGCGATTTGGTGAGATATTTTGCGTTCCAGAACGGTTCTTTACTATTCTAGAATGGTTGAGTAGAGTTCCATGCTACTCCGACACAACGTAATGAGTCTGTCCTGAGAAAACAACACATCTGATAGCAGCTTGTTGGTTTCATGGAGCCTGGCAGTGCTCGTGCAAGTCGCTTGATCTGATGAGCAGCAACTTGGTCTGCTGTGCAGCTAGCTTGGCTGTGGCTCATAGTACGAAAGACTACGTTTTTTCAAGAATCCGACACACCTCCGTGTCGTGTGCTGCAGGTGTAGGTTACGCATCCAACGCGGACATTCGTTGTTGAATTTCACTTCAGCTTACGTCAAGTCGCCCTGCGAGTGCCAGATGATACTGCTTCCGCTGGCCCTCCGTTTCAGCGCCACGTAGCTCTCTGCTGCAGAGTCTAATGCCACATAACAGCTGTGCATCATCGCACCAGCTGTCCCCATTCCCGATCATGGCTCCTCCTCCTCCCGCCTTTTGAGTCTACTCTTTGTACAAGCCTCCTGCCAAAAGCCTCCTCCTGTCACATTCGCAATGACAGATAGATAGGCGAAAGCCATCCGCGATGGACGGAGCTCTCAAGTTCGTTGTAGCAGCAGTGGCAGCCGCCGTCGTTGCGAAGCAAGTTCTTGGAAGTTCCGGCCACAACCAGAGTAAGATACGCGAGTTCTTGGGAAGATCAACCGCGTCGCGCACGGGTACCCAGGTGTCTGGCTTCCGTATCTGGTTACCATACATGGTTACCGTACCTGTTCACTGTGTCTGGTTACCGTTCTTGTTGCTGTTGCCAGTTATCCTAACCGATTAACGTGCCTGTTGCCATGTCTAGCTGTCGTATATGGTTACTGTACCAGTTGATGTCCTTGGATACTGCATCTGGCCACCGGTTTGGTTACCGTGCCTGTTGTCGTGTCTGGTTTCATGTGGTTACATGCCTGTTGTCGTGTCTGGCTACGGTATCTGAGTAGCGTGTCTGTCTGGTTATCGTATCTGGTTACCATTCCGCGTGTCAGCGAGTGAAGCTACGACAGCCGATCGTCCACCTACATTGGAATCCCAGTTGACCTGGGAGTATAATTTGTGCGCATTTCGATTGCGAGTCAATCGACCTAGGCTCGCACTCTCGTGCGCTCTGGAGTTATGTTCTGGGGTGTTCAGCTGGTCTGGCAATCCATGCACGACATGCACAGTTACAGGTTATAAAATCCCCGAGATCAGTGGTTTGCTGCTCCATTCCTGAATCGCCGACCCAGAAGAGCAAGTTTTGATTCGGACTTCCTCTCGTTTTCGCCTATGATCTCGGTTTCAGGGCAGGAGGAGGAACGACGGCGGCGGCGGAGGCGGCAGCAAAGGTCGCAGCGTGAACAAGATGTGAGTAAAACGAGGGCACGCCCGTGACTTGCTCGACTGCATTGTGCCTATTCCGTTCATTGCGCCCGTCTCACCCATGTGCTGCCAAACACCCCACGCAATTCCTCCCTTCCTCTTCCTCCCTCTTCTCCTCCTCCCTCTCTTCCCCCACCCCCCCCCGCCTCCTCCTCCTCTCTCTACATTCTCCCTCGTCCGTGTCTTACCTCCGTCCGTGTCTTCCCCCCGTGCTGCGTGTGCCAGGTAGCGGCGCAAGGGCAGCAGGGGGGGCGGCCAGTGCCGGAGCTGAATGACGTGGAGAGCGTGGGGGAGGAGAGGGACCGCTCGTTACTGTCACACGGGAGAGTTGGCGCGACGTTTGGTCAGGGAGGCGGGGAAGGGCATGGGATCACGGGGGTGACTCAAACGGGGGGAGGAGCAGGAGGAGGAGAGGCGGGAGCAGGAGGGGGAAGGGGAGGAGGAAGGTCAGGAAGCAAGCACAAGGAGGGACGTGTTCGGGCGTCTGGAGGCGTTGCTGGTGGTGGTGGTGGTGCTGCTGGTGTCCCAGATGTGACTGTAGATGGAAGGGACTATTACGGGGCCTCTGGGGATGTAGTAACAAGTGAAGGAAGAGGGGAGGAGGAGGAGGGCGAGAGGGGAAGGAAGGACAGGAAGAGTGACCGGAAGGAGAAGAGGAAGAAGAAGAAGGATAAGGAGGAAAAGGAGAAGGAGAAGGAAGGTAAGGAGAAGGGGAAGGGTAAGGGGAAAGGGAAGGCGAAGGGAAAGGGTAAGGACAAGCAGGGGCAAGAGGAGGGGGAAGACGGGGAAGATGGAATTGAGATGTTGGCAGATGGAAAGGTAGTAGCAGCAATAGCATCAGCAGGAGGGGATGGGGATAACGCAAGCATACCCTTGGGCACTGGGGGTATTGCGGGCACTGGTACTACTGGTGCCGGTGGTGGGGGTGACAGAGGTAGTGCGGAAGGTGGTGGCTTTGGAGGGACGGCTAGGGATGCACTTACAGGAGACACTGGGGGCGGTGTGGCTGGAAACGTGCAGGGCGCTGGGTGGGGACACGAGGGCATTGGGGCGGGAGACGAGCAGGGGGCTGGGTGGGGGGGAGACGAGCAGGGTGCTGGTGCTGCATCGGGAGACGAGTTCTTTTCAGACAAGGACGTGCCGGATGTGTGGTCTGACTTTGAGTCGAAACTCGCTCTGGACGGCCGGAAAGCTGCTGTCCGGAACGTGCTTCCTGGCGACTCCCCTTCCGCCTTAAGCTTTGGTCCGTCAGCCGTTGCTGCTCTACCCAACGGGCTTGGTGACCTGGACGAGCGGGTGAGGGAGGAGCGCGCGCGGGAGGAGCGAGCGCGGGAGGAGGAGCGAGTGCGGGAGCTGCTAGCCGCCCAGGAGAAAGCTTTAAAAGAGGCGCACGCGAGGGAGATAGAGGGGGTGAAGGCGAGGGTTGAGAGGGAGGTGCATGAGCGCGTGATGGCGGAGGTGGCGGAGGTGGAGGCAAGAGTAGAGCAGGAGGTGCAGGAGCGGGAGGCGCTGGAGGAGCAGCAGCGGGTGAGGGCGGAGGAGCATCAAAGGGAGGTGTGGGAGCTGCAGTGCAGCGCGGAGGAGATGCGGCAGCAGCATGAGCAGCTCATGGCGGAACTGCAGGTGGGGGGGTGTGTGGCAAGGTGTAGAGGGGTTTCCAGGTGTGTGAGGGTGTTGGGGTGTGTGTTGAGGGTGCAGCGCGGAGGCGATGCGGCAGCAGCACGAGCAACTCATGGCCGAACTGTAGGGTTTAGGGTGTGCGCGAGTGCTGTGTGGTGGTCTCTATGGGTGTGACGAGCGTGTGAGAGTTTGTGCGGGCACAGGGATGTGTGTGAAGGGTGTGAGGATGTGTAGTTTTGAGGCGCCTCAAAACTAGGATGTGTACAAAAAGGAGGTGCAGGAGTAAGAGTGTATGTTTTTTGAGAATTCTCAAAAAACATACACTAGGATGTGTACATGAAGGAGGTGCAGGAGTAAGAGGCAGCAGCACGAGCAGCTCATGGCCGCGTCTGTGAGGAGGATGAAGGCGTTTCGGTTCTTCTGAAGGCAACTGAACCCTGAATACTATTAAACGCACCCCATCTCATGTTGCGTCAAACCGTGGTGCCCATGCCTGTCGTTACCCTCTGTTCCCTTTGGTCACACCAGAAGCAGCAGCAGGTGCGGTATGAGGGTGAGGAGGTGGAGAGGCAGCAGAGGACAGCGGAGAGGGAGCGGGCAGAGGTGGTACCTTGCAAGGCCACCTCAGGATGCTTCTAGAGGCGCCTCAAGCTGTCTCTGCCTGATCGTGCCTGCCTCTTTTCTGCTCTCATTCTCGCTTCCCCTGCTGCCATATCGTCCTCTTTCGGTCTTCCCCACACCAGGAGCTGCGGCAGCTGCGGTATGGGGGCGAGGAGGTGGAGAGGCAGCGGAGGGAGGAGAGGGAGCGGGCGGAGGTGGTGCCTCAGACCATCTCGTCCTGAATGTGCCCTCCTCGTCTCTGTTCTCTGTTACCTGCCCACCCATGCCGTTCCCATCCCGTCTGTCACCCCTTGCCTGACCAGGAGCTGCGGCAGCTGCGGTACGGGGGCGAGGAGGTGGAGAGGCAGCGGAGGGAGGTGGAGAGGGAGCGGGCGGAGGTGGTTCGGCTGCGCAAGGGCATGGCGGAGAGCGTGTTTCAGAAGCAGCAGTGGGCGCTGGACATGCAGGAAATGGATAAGATCAAGAAGGAGGTGAGTGCGTGAGGGAGGTTGAAGGGATTCGAAAGGAGTGAGAAGGATGTGAGGAGGGAAAGCAAGGGTGGGCTGGGGGTTGTTGTGGGTTGAAAGTTGAAACAAGGGAATGAAAAGGGGTTCTGGGTGCTTGGAGGGAAGGGCATGGCGGAGAGCGTTTTTCAGAAGCAGCAGTGGGCGCTGGACATGCAGGAAATGGATAAGATCAAGAAGGAGGTGAATAGAGGGGTTGAGAGAGGGTGAAAGAATGAGAAGGGAGTGAGAAGGCGGTGAGGATTTGGAGCGGGGATGGGTGGGGGTTGTTGTTGTTGGTTGAATTGATACGAGGGACTGAAGAGGAGACTGGGTGTTCAAGGCAAGGGCATGGCGGAGAGTGTGTTTCAGAAGCAGCAGTGGGCGCAGGTTGTGCAGGAAATGGAAGATCAAGGAGGTGAAAGTGGGGTGAAAAGGGAGTGAGGGGATGAGAAGGAGGTGAGGAGGGGAAGCGGGGGTGGTTTGGGGGTTGTTGTGGATTGGATTAAGGGACTGTACAGGAGTCTGGGTTCCTTGAGGGAAGGGCATGGCAGAGAGCGTGTTTGAGAAGCAGCAATGGGCGCAGGACGTGCAGGAGATGGATAAGATCAACAAGGAGGTGAGGAGGGTTAGTGAGAAGAGGTGAGGGGCGAGATGAGAAGGAGTTGAGGGATTGAGAAGGGGCTGAGGAGGGGAAACGAGGGTGGGCTGGCGGTTGTTGTGGGTTGAAACAAGGAACTGAGGAGGAGGTTTGGTGTGTGAGGCAAGGGCATGGCAAAGAGCGTGTTACAAAAGCAGCAGTGGGGACTCGATGTTCACAGAGGGTAGCGGGGTTCACTCCTCTTTCTCCTCTCCCCTTTTCCCGCTCCTCTTTTGACGCTCCCTTATTGCTGATCCGCTATCTCTGCTCTGCTTTCGCCTCGGCCTGTTCTCTTTTGCCTCCTCGATCCATCTCCTCTTTCGCCTCGGTCTGTTCTCCGCTTCCCTTGTCTCTCCCTGTGCCTTCCACTCTTCCACGAGTATTGAGACGTCTGACTTTCGCCCTCCATTCCGTACTTTCCTCGTCAATTGTCCCCGCGCTTTCCATTGTGTTTTGAGTCGACTCAAAACATTATACTTGCGCTATCCATCCCTCACTCTGTTTAAGACCTTACTTTTCCCCTCAACACCTCTCTCTGCGTCCTCTTCCATGGCCTCACTCCCCAAATGCCACAGCTGAACGAGCTGAGGGCGCGAGAGAGGGAGCTGCAGAAGCAGCTGCGGATAGGCTCGGGCTCTTCCTCAGAGATCACAGCACTCAAGCAGGTATGGGTGCTGGTGATTTGCTTTGCTCTACAGCTTATTTGCTGTTATATGCCCAGTGCTACTGCTGTCCAAACTAAAGAAGCAGCTGCGGATAGGCTCGGGCTCAGGCTCGGGCTCAGGCTCAGGCTCAGGCTCAGGCTCAGGCTCGGGCTCAGGCTCAGGCTCAGGCTCAGGCTCGGGCTCAGGCTCAGGCTCAGGCTCAGGCTCGGGCTCAGGCTCAGGCTCAGGCTCAGGCTCAGGCTCAGGCTCAGGCTCAGGCTCTACATCCGAGATTACTGCAGAAGGCTCGGCTCACAGGCCACCACAGTGGAGCCCCTAAAGTCCTCCCTTGGCTTTCACATCTCTCCTCCCCACTGCCCCAGGTGGTGGCATCACTTAAAGCCCGCGAGGAGGAGGTGAACGCCAAAGAGGCTCTTGCCCTGGCAAAGCACAAGGAGGTGGAGGCCTTGCGCAAGGTGGGTGGGGAGGGGGCGCTGGGGGGGAACTGGGTGATTGTATTGCAGAGACGGCTGGTATGCAGCTGATGCACAGGGAGGCTCTTGCCCTGGCGAAGCACAAGGAGGTGGAGGCCTTGCGCAAGGTGGGGGGGGGGGGGGGGGGGGGGGGGGGGGAGGAAAAGGTGTGAGGGGGATGATGAGAGAAGGGTGGTGATGGGGTTCACGAGGGTGAGGTTGGGAGCAGGAGAGGGGAGTTCGGCGTGGGGAAGGGGGATTGAATTGGGGGGTGTGAGACTACGGTGTGGTGGGTGACGTTGAGTATTGGGCCTCAGTTCGGTGGGGGGAACGTTTAACGTTAGGGAAGGCTCTCAAGGCAACCTACCGTACCCTTATTCACTCTTCCCCTTTCCTCCCCTCCAGGCGCAGGAGAAGGTGGAGGTGGAGCTGGTGGAGGCGCGGCGCATGAACAACGAGCTTCAGCTGCAGCGTCGCGTGTTTTGAGGCACGTCACGATCCCTTGTTGCTCCCTCGCTCCCTCACCCCCGCCTCCTCCGCCTCTTCCCCCCATCCTCCCCTCCCCCCTGTCAGGTGCAGGAGAAGGTGGAGGTGGAGCTGGTGGAGGCGAGGCGCATGAACAACGAGCTGCAACTGCAGAGGAGGAAGATGAGCGTGCAGCTGGCCGAGGCCCAGGCACACATGGATAGGCTCATAGCGCCCGAGGTAACAAGCAGGGAGGTGTGGTAACCCTATACACGCATTGACCGGCCAGCCATGAGGTGCAGCTGCAGAGGCCCAGGCGCACATGGATAGACTCATAGCGCCCGAGGTAACTGGGTGGAGTGGCGCCTGTGGTAACCCTATACACACATTGAGTGACTAGCCATGAGCTGCAGCTGCAGAGGTGACTTTTGAGTCGACTCAAAAGTCGCCTGTGGTAACCCTATACACACATTGAGTGACCAGCCATGAGGTGCAGCTGCAGAGGCGGAAGATGAGCGTGCAGCTGGCAGAGGCCCAGACGTACATGGATAGGCTCATAGCGCCCGAGGTGACCCTCTTCTACGGGAGTTTGTTATTGCTGTTTTGTGCTGCTGTGGCTTTTCTCTTTTTGAGATGGGATGGGAGTGTGTTACGTGAGCCTGTCTTGTGTGAGTGGCACAGGCGCACGTGGACCCCCTCCTAGTGCTAGAGGTAACTGATGGGGGGCCTGTGATAACCCTGGTTTCATGGGACGTTTGAACTCTATTAAATGTGAGTTGCTACACGCAGCAGCTAAAACCCTCTCTCTGATTCGTTGCTGCCCCTCCCCACCCCATGTTGTCCTGTGCTGTGACCCCTTCCCCTGTCTTCCTGTGCTGCAGAGCCAGCAGCTGAAGAAGGCACAGATGGAAGCCATGCTGCTGCGGCAGCGAGTGGCGGATCTTCTCAGACAGGTGTGTGGGTTGAACCTCTGGATCCGTCCTCTATCGATTAAAGGTGTATATCTTTACACCTTCCCTCTCTTTTGCGACAAAAAAATAGCTGACTTCTTATGCAGGTGGATGGGTTGGTTACTCGTGGGAGTGCATAGGATTTTGAGACGTCTCAGAAATGTATTGAGTTATAGGACCGTCATTCTACCCCTCTCCATTGCCTCCCATGTCTCACCATTCCCTCACCGCATCACCCCAGGTCGGAAGGTCCCCAGAACAGTAGCTTCAGCGAGGCGGAGGAGGTGGTGAACGCGTGCTGTGTGAACGCGTGCTGTGCGCATGCCTCTAACCAGCCAACTTCATACCCATACCATGTGCATTCTCTGTCCCCAGGTCGAAGGTCCCCAGAACAGTAGCTTCAGCGAGGTGGAGGAGGTGCTGAACGCGTGTTGTGTGCATGCCTCTAACCTGTTATTGCATACCATATGCGTACCGTGGTCTGTAGGTCGAAGGTCTGCAGAACAGTAGGTTCAGCGATGTGGGGAGGTGGTGAACGCGTGTTGTGTGCATGCCTCTAACCTGTTATTGCATACCGTATGCGTACCGTGGTCTGTAGGTCGAAGGTCTGCAGAACAGTAGGTTCAGCGATGTGGGGAGGTGGTGAACGCGTGTTGTGTGCATGCCTCTGACCTGTTATTGCATACCATATGCGTACCGTGGTCTGTAGGTCGAAGGTCTGCAGAACAGTAGGTTCAGCGATGTGGGGAGGTGGTGAACGCGTGTTGTGTGCATGCCTCTAACCTGTTATTGCATACCATATGTGTACCGTGGTCTGTAGGTCGAAGGTCTGCAGAACAGTAGGTTCAGCGATGTGGGGAGGTGGTGAACGCGTGTTGTGTGCATGCCTCTGACCTGTTATTGCATACCATATGCGTACTGTGGTCTGTAGGTCGAAGGTCTGCAGAACAGTAGGTTCAGCGATGTGGGGAGGTGGTGAACGCGTGTTGTGTGCATGCCTCTAACCTGTTATTGCATACCATATGCGTACCGTGGTCTGTAGGTCGAAGGTCTGCAGAACAGTAGGTTCAGCGATGTGGGGAGGTGGTGAACGCGTGTTGTGTGCATGCCTCTGACCTGTTATTGCATACCATATGCGTACCGTGGTCTGTAGGTCGAAGGTCTGCAGAACAGTAGGTTCAGCGATGTGGGGAGGTGGTGAACGCGTGTTGTGTGCATGCCTCTAACCTGTTATTGCATACCATATGCGTACCGTGGTCTGTAGGTCGAAGGTCTGCAGAACAGTAGGTTCAGCGATGTGGGGAGGTGGTGAACGCGTGTTGTGTGCATGCCTCTGACCTGTTATTGCATACCATATGCGTACTGTGGTCTGTAGGTCGAAGGTCTGCAGAACAGTAGGTTCAGCGATGTGGGGAGGTGGTGAACGCGTGTTGTGTGCATGCCTCTAACCTGTTATTGCATACCATATGTGTACCGTGGTCTGTAGGTCGAAGGTCTGCAGAACAGTAGGTTCAGCGATGTGGGGAGGTGGTGAACGCGTGTTGTGTGCATGCCTCTAACCTGTTATTGCATAGCATATGCATACTGTGGTATACAGGTAGAAGGTCTGCAAAACAGCCCCACACACACCACCCAAAACAGTAGGTTCAGCGAGGTGGAGGAGGTCATGTACCTGCGGTGGGTGAACGCACTCATGTGCATGCATCTAATGTCTCATCACCCCCACCCACACCACTGCATAACCACCTCCACCACAGATGGAAGGTCTACAGAACAGCCGGTTCAGCGAGGTGGAGGAGGTGATGTGCCTGCGATGGGCGAATGCAGTCGTATGTCTCAACCTGTCAATTCGTACCATGTGCACACACTCCTATCCATGCATCCTGGCCAGGTCGAAGGTCTACAGAACAGCCGGTTCAGCGAGGTGGAGGAGGTGGTGTACCTGCGGTGGGTGAACGCGTGTCTGCGCTTTGAGCTGCGCCACAACAAGGCCATGGCTGGCGGCAAGGACTCGGCGCTCTCCCTCAACAACAACCGCAGCCCGCGCTCCCAGGTGAGGGTGCTGCTTTCGCCCCACGCTCCCAGGTGAGGGTGCGTTGCCTCACACGATAAACTCCAACTCGCTCTCCCTCTACAGACAGAGACAGGGCCTCCTTTGCCTCCTCGCCTGACCGCGCCAGCGCTGCTGCTTATAATGCCCAACCTCCCTCGCTTTCCCCCCCCTTTCCCATTCCCTTTCATCTTCCCCTTCCTTTTTTCCCCTTCTCCACCTCTCAGGACCGCGCCAAACACCTCATGCAGCAGTTTGCCGATGGCTACCCCACAGGGGAGCCCTCAGGTGCTGCTGGTGGTGGTCGGTACAACGACGATGATTCCGACTCCCTCTCTCTCTACAACGACTCTGCCTCCTTCGCCTCCTCGCCTCCTGGCCTCTTGGCCCACCGAGGCAGCACTGCTGCCAGTAACAGCCAATCCCCCTCGTGTTTCCTTCCCCTCTCCCTACCCCTTTCTTCTTTCCCTCTGCACCCCTCAGGACCGTGCGAAACACCTCATGCAGCAGTTTGCCGACGGCTACCCCACAGGGGAACCTTCAGCTGCTGGTGGTCGGTACAACGACGACGATTCCGACTCCCTCTCTCTCTACAACGACTCTGCCTCCTTCGCCTCCTCGCCCGACCATCGCTTCCCCTGTCTGTCCCTTCCTTTACCCCTCTGTCCCTCAGGACCGCGCGAAACACCTCATGCAGCAGTTTGCCGACGGCTACCCCACAGGGGAACCTTCAGCTGCTGGTGGCCGTTACAACGATGACGACTCCGACTCCCTCTCCCTATACAACGACTCTGCATCCTTCGCCTCCTCGCCTGACCGCGGCAGCGCTGCTGCCACAGACGAACCATTTCACTCCTCCCCGGATAGCTATGGGCGGGGTGCTGCTGGTGGGGGAGGGGGAGCTGCGGGAGGAGGAGGAAGGAAGGCGAGAACGCCTGGACCTGGGACGGGAGGGAGAGGAGGAGGATGGGGAGTGGGCGTGGGAGTGGCGTCTGGTGCTGGTGCTGGTGGTGGCGGTTTTGGTGAGGGTGGTGGTGGGGGTGGAGGAGGTGGTGGGGGTGCGGGTGTGGGAGGGGGAGGGAAGGATGCGCTGGGGAGAACAATGTCTCTGCAGGCCATGTCGCAGCAGGATGCAGCGAGCAAGCTCAAGAACTTCCTCACCTGGCGCCGCAACAAGTCCGCGCGAGACCTCGGGGAAACTGCTGCTGCTGGTGGGGGTGTTGGGGGTGCTGGTGGGGGTGGTGGTGCTGCGGGTGGTGGTGCTGGTGGTGGTGGTGATGGGAGTTCTGGTGGTGGTGGTGCTGATGCTGTTTCTGATGCTGCTGCTCGGGCTGCCGCCAGGTATGAAGGAGAGCGAAGGGCACGCCACAGAGGAGGAAGGGAAGGAGGAGGTGGAAGCGGGGGAGGTGGGGGAGGAGGCGGAGGAGGAGAGGGTGGAGAATTTGGAAGGGAGGGAGGGCAGGATGAGGAGAGGAAGGAGGCGATTCTCAGAAAGCTCAAGATGAAGCAGCCTCCTCCAGGCATGATGATGAACCCCATGGGCGATTTCACCGTCGGTGACTCCTTCAATCTCGTCCGCCGATCCGTGTCCCGCCCCGACAAGGACAATCTGCACCGTCAATTCCCGGGGTTCAAGGATCGGCACCTCCTTGCCCAGGAGCGGCAGATTTTTAACCTCCAACAGGCCGAAGCTGCGGCTGCCCTGAAAAAATCGGGTATTTCGGCTAACGCGTCCGTTGGGAAAACGCCGCGCGTCGCCGCCCCGGAGAAGCGCGAGCCAAGAGTGCCGTCCGCGCCGCCCAGGCCCCGAACCACCCGCCCGAGCCACCTGGACGAGGAAATGGAAGTGACGCACGCCGCCGCCCTGCTCAACAAAGCAGTGGGCGGCGCAGTGCCACTTCCGCCGCCCCTGCCGCCGGCCGGCGGGGTTCCATTGCCGCCCGCAATGCCCAGAGGGAAACTGGGTGGGAAGGAGGGAATGGACGATGAGGGGATGCGGAGGGCGCCTGAAGTGGTGGCGTTCTATCAGCAGCTGATGAGGATGCAGAGGGAGGGACTGGGAGGTGTTGGGGGGAGGGAGGCGGAGGAGGGGTTGAGCATGACGGCCGTGAGAGGGGATATGATTGGCGAGATCGAAGGACGCTCGTCGCACCTGCTGGCTGTAAGTGCTGTCAAGCAAAAGAAACACAAAAACAGTGGTTGGGCAGGGAGGCGGAGGAGGGGTTGAGCATGACGGCTGTGAGAGGGGATATGATTGGCGAGATTGAAGGGTGCTCGTCACACCTGCTCGCTGTAAGTGCAGTTTTGTTTTCCGGATTTTGTAAGATTATGGAACTGGAAAAAAACGGTAAGTGTTGGCCAGTTGCAACCGAGTTTCTTCCCCCCCCTCTTTCTTTTTCGTTCTCCTGGTTTTCTAGCTGCCATTTTTCACACCCGTGCTAGTGTCTCCTCTTCCCTCTACTGCGCTCGCCTCACTCCTTCGCACAACCCTTCGCACAACCCTTCGCACACCCTTCTCCCACTGCCCCCCCCCCAACAGATCAAGCAGGACGTGGAGATGCAGGGCGACTTCATCAACACGCTGAGCTGCTTGCACCTTAATCTCTGCCCGCACACCTTCTCCTTTCCACTCCTTGCACTCCCACACCCTCGTTTCTCCCACTGCCCCCCTCCAACAGATCAAGCAGGACGTGGAGATGGAGGGCGAGTTCATTAACACGTTGGCAAGGGTGGTGTTTGCACTCAACTCCCTGCCCTTACCTCTTTTCCACGCACCCCGTTGTGTCCCCCACACCCCTTTGTGTCCCCCACACCCTTCTCCCAACTCCCCCCCCCAACAGATCAAGCAGGACGTGGAGATGCAGGGCGACTTCATCAACACCCTGGCAAGGGAGGTGCGCGACGCCTCCTACTTTGACATTGAGGACGTCGTGGCGTTTGTCAACTGGCTGGATGAGGAGCTCGCCTTCCTGGTATGTTCCCGGGAGCAGTGTCAATCCCACTTGTAGGAGTTGCCCCGTATGGCCTGCCTTGAACCCCATCATCAATCAACACCCTGGCGAGGGAGGTGCGCGACGCCTCCTACTTTGACATTGAAGACGTGGTGGCGTTCGCCGACTGGCTCGATGAGGAGCTGGCGTTCCTGGTATGTATGGGTAGCATCAGCGCCTCTTTGACTCCAGGAGCATCTGGGAGTGAACAGTGTCAGTCCCGCCTTCCTTTAGGGAGGTGCGGGATGCGTCCTACTTTGACATCGAGGACGTTGTGGCGTTCGTCAACTGGCTGGACGAGGAGCTCGCCTTCCTGGTATGTTATGTTCCCTTGCCTTCCTGGCATGCTCTTCCTTTGCTTCTCGGGTTGCTATTCTCTCTCTCAACAGCATACTACTGCTGAAGCACTTTGACTGGCAACTCCCTTTCTCCCCTTACTCTCCCCTCCTTCATGTCTCCTCCCCTCCCCCTCCCACTCCCCTCCCTCCACCCCTCCTTACAGGTGGATGAGAGGGCAGTGCTGAAGCGCTTTGATTGGCCCGGGGCCAAGGCGGACGCTCTGAGGGAAGCAGCTCCCCTTTTCCCCTTACACTCCCCTCCCTCATCTCTCCTCCCCTCCCTTCTCCCCTTCTCTCTCCCCTCCCTCTAAAGGTGGACGAGCGCGCAGTGCTGAAGCACTTTGACTGGCCCGAGGCGAAAGCGGGCGCACTGAGGGAAGCAGCTTCTGAGACGCCCTCTCCCATCCCCCTGCCGTGCTCCCTCCCCTGCCAACCCCCCTTCTTGAAGGTGGACGAGCGCGCAGTGCTGAAGCACTTTGACTGGCCCGAGGCCAAGGCGGACGCGCTGAGGGAGGCAGCGTTTGAGTTCCAGGACTTGGTGCGCCTGGAGAGGGACCTAGGGAGCTACATGGATGACCCTGACGTGCCCACCGACCAGGCTCTGAAAAAAATGTTCCACGTGCTGGAGAAGTGAGTCGGGTTGCGTGAGGGGGGTTGCATCAGTGTTGGGGGGCGGTCTTTGAGTTTCAAGACCTGGTGTGGGAAATGCGGGACCTCGTGAGGTTAGATCTGAGCAGCTGCTTGGATGACCCTGATGTGCCCACCGACCAGGCACTCAAGAAGATGTTCCATGTGCTGTAGAAGTGAGTGGGGTTGTGGGAAGAAGGTGAAACGGGAAGGGGGGGTGGGGTGGAGTGGTTGATGAGTGCTGTGGCCCGTGCTTTGCCTTGAGTGGTTGATGAGTGCTGTGGCCCGTGCTTTGCCTTGAGTGGTTGATGAGTGCTGTGGCCCGTGCTTTGCCTTGAGTGGTTGATGAGTGCTGTGGCCAGTGCTGTGGCCTTGAGTGGTTGATGAGTGCTGTGGCCCGTGCTTTGCCTTGAGTGGTTGATGAGTGCTGTGGCCCGTGCTGTGGCCTTGAGTGGAGGCTGGAGCGCGACCTTGGCAGCTGCATGGACGACCCTGACGTGCCCACCGACCAGGCTCTCAAGAAGATGTTTTACGTGTTGGAGGAGTGGGGGAGCGTGGAAGTAGCTGAAAGGGAAGATCAGTGTTTTGGTGTGCCTTGAGTGGAGGCTGGAGCGGGATCTTGGCAGCTACATGGACGACCCTGACGTGCCCACCGACCAGGCATCCAAGAAAATGTTACGTCAAAATTTTAGTCGACTCTAACCCTCTTACACGTGCTGATGGAGAGGTGAGTGCTTTCCTGCGGGGGGTCATGCTCTTGTGATTAGCAGGGTGGAGAAGAAGATTTAGGGAGTTTTCAGGGTTGAGAATTCTCAAAAACTCCCTGCGCTGCTGTGTATGAGAGACATGGCCAACTCTCGTTGTTCTGTGTGCTGACTGAAAGTGGTATCGAGCGTCTCTCTCTTTGTGCTCTTTGTCCTCTGTCTGTCACATGACTCCTGGTATCTCTTTCTCCCTGTGTGTGTGTGTGCAGGGTGGAGCAGAGCATATACGCGCTGCTGCGCACGAGAGACATGGCCATCTCACGCTACGCTGAGTTTGGAGTGCCCACCTACTGGATTCTTGATAATGGCCTCGTGGGCAAGGTGAGCTTGGGTATTGGTGGTGGGGGGAAGTGATGGTGGGGGGAAGTGGTGGTGGGGGGAAGTGATGGTGGGGGGAAGTGGTGGTGGGGGGAAGTGATGGTGGGGGGAAGTGGTGGTGGGGGGAAGTGATGGTGGGGGGAAGTGATGGTGGGGGGAAGTGATGGTGGGGGTAAGTGATGGTGGGGGGAAGTGATGGTGGGGGAAGGTGATGGCAAAAGGTGGGGGGAGCAGATGGGTGCTTGTTTGAGAGTTCTAGTCTAGACGGTAATTTAGAATGGACAAGTTGGGTTACGATCCTTGTTCTACGGCAATGAAGCTGCGGGGGTAACAGCTACCAAAAAACTGCTCTTTGCTGCTATTTCAGATACGTCTGCTGCGAGCCAACCTGCCCATCATCTACCTCCCTCCCCTCCTCTCCCCTCCCCTTCCCTGCTGCAACACAGATGCGTGTGGCATCGGTGCGTTTGGCACGTTGCTCCAACTTGACCCCCGTGAGCAACGATATGAGGCTACATCACGTCACAGGGGCCTCACGTCGGAGCCTCATATCCCCGTATTCCTGTCACACCTCCCCCACCCAACCATACGCAAACCAATCCCCCCAGATCCGTCTGGCATCGGTGCGTCCAGCACGGTGCTACATCACGCGAGAGACATCAGAGCTAGACAAGCTGGGGGAAACGAGCCGGAGAGTGAGCCTGTTTACCAACCCCTTCCACCTGCTTCCCTTCCCCTCCCCTCCCCTCCGCCTCCCCTGCCTCTTCTCAGATCCGTCTGGCGTCAGTGCGTCTGGCACGGTGCTATATAACGCGAGTCACATCGGAGCTAGACAAGCTAGGCAGCGAGCCAGAGAGCGAGCCAGAGAGCGAGCCAGAGAGCGAGCCAGAGAGCGAGCCAGAGAGCGAGCCAGAGAGCGAGCCAGAGAGCGAGCCAGAGAGCGAGCCAGAGAGCGAGCCAGAGAGCGAGCCAGAGAGCGAGCCAGAGAGCGAGCCAGAGAGCGAGCCAGAGAGCGAGCCAGAGAGCGAGCCAGAGATCGAGCCAGAGAGCGAGCCAGAGAGCGAGCCAGAGAGCGAGCCAGAGAGCGAGCCAGAGAGCGAGCCAGAGAGCGAGCCAGAGAGCGAGCCAGAGAGCGAGCCAGAGAGCGACCCCATCTGCTGAACTTCCACCGCCCTGCCCGTCTACTGATCTCTCACCTCCCCCCCCCACACCTTCCCTGCCCCAACACAGATCCGTCTGGCATCGGTGCGACTGGCCCGGTGCTAGATAACGCGGGTCACGTCAGAGCTGGACAAGCTAGGGAACGAGCCCGAGAGCGAGCCCATCAGAGAGTTCCTGCTTCCTCTCCTCTCCCCTCCTCTCCCCTGCTGCAACACAGATCCGCCTAGCCTCTGTGCGTCTGGCCCGGTGCTACATCACGCGGGTCACATCGGAGCTGGACAAGCTAGGCAGCGAGCCGGAGAGCGAGCCCATCAGAGAGTTCCTGCTGCTGCAGGCCGTGCGATTTGCTTTCCGCACTCACCAGGTGTGTTCTCTGAGCTGCCCCCTGTTTCCTGTGTTATCATCAGCCCCTTCAAAAGTTCCTGCAGCTTCAGGCCTTGCGATTCGCCTTCCGCACCCACAAGGTACGTTCTCTGAGCTGTCACACACAGGGCGGTTACAGCATGAGATGGTTACCACACAGGGCCAAATCGAGCTTGGTGTTTCCTGTGTTATCATCAGCACATGAGAGAGCTCCTGCTGCTGCAGGCCGTGCGATTCGCCTTCCGCACACACCAGGTATGATTCGCCCGCTCCATATCCCATCCCCATCCACTCTCCCATGTGGTTGCCGTTGGCTTTCTCTTGTTGCCCACTTTGGTTACCACCTCGTGGAGTTACCACCTCATGTAGTTACACTCAGTTTTACTGTCTCCTCTAGACAGCATTCATATTCGGACCCTGTCCATGCCTGCTCACACCTCCTTCCCTTACAACTCACCTATCTACAGTTCACCTGCTGTTTATCCCCACTTCCAACCTGCCATGGCCGTTATGCAGCGCGCTCAAACACTATTGGTCATCTCCATCACCTTCTTTTTTATCCCCGCTGCTGCTGCCGCTTGCCATTACCATGTGTTGGCAGTTTTGTGGGGGAATTCAATGCAGACAGCATGCATGCGTTTCATGAGCTTCGAGCACATACCAACCTCGAGTGTTGAATCATCTCACATCCGTGCTGTTTCTCCCCGCTGCTTCGCCTACCTGCCTTTACCATTGTCTAACGTTATGTGCAGTTCGCAGGAGGGTTTGATGCAGAAGGCATGCGTACCAATGCGGGCATTCGATGAGCCTCGAGCGCGAGCCAACCTCGGGTGTTGAGGCGTCTCACAACCTGTGCTGTTTCTCCCCTCTGCCTCGCCTGCCATTCATTACTTTCCATTTGTCTGCAGTTTGCAGGAGGGTTTGACGCAGAAAGCATGCGGGCATTCGATGAGCTTCAAGCTCGAGTGTTGAGTCGTCTCACAAACCTTGCTATTTGTCCCCACTGCTATCACCTACTATTACCATTGTTTATCCTTGTGTGCAGTTTGCAGGAGGGTTTGACGCAGAAAGCATGCGTGCATTCGATGAGCTTCGAGCGCGGGCCAACCTCGGAAGCAGTGCCAGCCTCGGCCCTCCTACTGCTGCCGCTGGTGCTGGTGCTAGTGCTAGTGCTGCTGGTGCTGCTGGTGCTGCTGATACTGGTGCTGCCGCTGCCTCTGCCGCTGATGCCCCTGCTGCTGCTGATGATGATGGCGTTGACAGTGCTCCTGCAGCTGGTGATACGAATGGTGCAGATGGTGGTGGTGAGAGTGTTGGAGTATTGCCGAGTGAGGAGCCTGCAATGGATGATGCAGATACGTCCGATCTGCTGGCTGATGCGTTAGCAGTTGCTAGTGACGTGGGTGATGGTACACCCGTTGACGAGGGTTTGTAGTTTTGGGCTTCAGGTTTTGTATGAAAAGGTGTTTGTAACAGTGTTGGAGTGTTGCCAACTGAGGAGCCTGCAATGGATGATGCAGCTACGTCTGATCTTCTGGCTGATGCCTTGGCAGTTGGGTGGTGATCCACCCGTTGACGAGGGTTCGTAAAATCTTCATGCTTGACGTGATGTTTAGCAAGGTACCGTACCTTAGGTAGTAAGTGGACAATAATTTTTCTCTTTTACAGACATGTTTTTCTCAAAAGTACATAGTGGGATGTTTGAATGTGGTATTGTATCTGATATGCACTCATGGCCTCTCGTTTGACCACTCATGGTAAAATGCCCTGATTGCCCTTCCTATGGGCCGCGTTTTGGCTTCTTTTCTTAAGTGCGTTCGAGTTGTTATCCTGATGAAGAAAGTGTAGGTTTATATTTCCCCTTATGTAATCAGTGTTACTGGATTTCTGGCATGGTAAAACAAGGTGTTCGACCTAAACAGCCAAAACCAGTCGCCACGTGTTTGACATACAGCAATAGATTCCCGCCCGTATTAAAACAGCCTCGGCATTTCCCAGATTCGCCAGCCTGGCCGACTGTTACCTCCAGCAACAAGCATGCCACAGTGCCACTCACCTTGTTGGCAACAGCCAGCCCATACTTCACGGTTGGCAGCATGCGCTGCCAACTGTGCTTGAGAGCTGCTTTCAAGGACAACGCACACGTGTGTGGGCAGCAGTCACCGCCAGCAGCGCATGTATGCTGCCATGGAGGGCAAGACTGAATCAGCTCTCATATGACGTGAAGATGCACGGCGACGCGGTTTTGGTGTTGGAAGGAAACGGTGGTGGGGCGGTGGTATGCCCCCAACCCACCGAGGGCACTTCGGTGCCTTCGATCCCTTTGACTAGGGATCGGTGGGGTGGCACCGATTGACTTCGGGAGACTCACCCTTCGGTGCCACGTGGCGGCACCACATTCCAACCTTCAAGTGCAAGGCGAATTCGGTGTGTTCGGTATGAAATTCGGTGGTCGAATTTCACCCCAACCGAAATGTTACACGCGGCGCATTCGCGACGCGAGTGTAGCGATGTGATGTTACATGTGCGGTTCGATGTAATGCATTTGCTATAAATCGACCTGCCTTGTATGCATGCTTTATACTGAAATCCTGAATCTTCTTGTACATGGTCCATTCGAACCAAAATTCCAGAGAGGTCTATCCTTGCTTCTAAGAGCACTAGCAATCACGTGAACGCCAATATCTCGGCGTATACTTGGGCGATTAACGTGTTTGACGGCTTGTTGGAAAGCCAAGACCGTGCTCTATCGTTTAGTGCAGCTTAGAGTTCCTGCAAAGTAGAGGAGAAGCCTCTACAACAGTGGTATCAGAGCTGGTCGGTAGAGTCTACGTGCGCGACTTGTAGCAAGCATGATGACGTCAAGCGAAACCTCCGGCACTTCCTTAGGTGGTGTCGTCTCGAATCCCGGCGAACCCTGGACAAACGCGACGGTGTTCGACACGTCGGCGGTTCCGATTTTCACGGGACAAAACTACTCCGCGTGGAAATTTAAGTTCCAAGTGCTCATGATGGAGCGGGGACTTTGGGGTCTCTTCGACGGAACGGAGAAAAAGCCGGTCAACGAGGACGAGATCGCGGCATGGAAGAAGAAGGACCAAAAGGCGTTCGCAACGTTGATTTCGCGCATCGGCATCAACCTCGTGAGTTCGGTGCGCACGTGCATCAAGCTCGAAGCTTCGGCGCGTGAAGCATGGAAGCGGCTCGAGACGATGCACGTGAACAAGACTCTCCACGGCAAGATCCTAGCCCGAAATGCGTTCTACACGGTGAAGTTGCGTGCGGGCGAATCGATGCACGAGTATGCGACTCGTGTGGAGGAACTCGGGGAAACGTTCATGGATATCGGTGGAACGGTCACGGAGGAGGATTGGATTCTCACCTTGCTTTGCGGCCTTCCGGAAGAGTGGTCGACGGTGATTACGACACTCGATAGCGTGCAAAACACTTGGACGAAGGAAATGGTGGTCGGTCGGCTTCTCCATGAAGAATCGCGACGCCGACAATTCGCTAACGAGAGCGTGGAGACCGCCATGTTCTCCGGAGGGAGCTCCGGAAAGAAGTCCAAGTGGAGCAACGGTGAGGCAAAGAAGTCGTCCGGTGGAAACGGTCGCAGCAAGGGCAACGCATCGAACGGTTCGAGCAAGTGTCATTATTGTCGCAAAGCGGGGCACTTTTGGCGTGAATGTCGGAAGCGGCCGAGCGATTGGATTCCATCGAAGGCGCGGAACCAAGAGGGCAACGCGCACACGGCATCCGGCGAGGCGGATGATTCAACGGAGTCGCTCGTTTTGTTGGCCGGTGACGGGATCAACACTTCAAACGACGCGTGGTTCCTCGACACCGGTGCAACACAACACATGACGCACTCGGCGTCGCTCCTCAACAACGTCGGTGCTCCGGGAGACGTCAAGCGCGTCGTCTTCGGGAACGATAAATCGCTACCGGTGGTTGGAGTTGGGAGTACGCGTCTCATCGTCGATGGCGGGCCGGTGGACATCACGAACGTGCTTCACGTCCCGGGATTGAAGGTGAATCTACTCTCCGTCACTCAACTCGCAAAGAAAGACGTGAAGGTCACCATCGATGGCGCGAAGATGAACCTCTTTTGGAAGGGGAAGCAATTCGCGCAAGGCGTTCTCAACGGACAACTCTACCAACTCAAGACGCATCCGACAACGGCCTCATCCAACGTGGCGCAAGGCTCCAAGGCGACTCTCAAAATGTGGCATAATCGGCTTGCGCACGCCAACTACGACTCGGTCAAAGAGTTGGCCAACAAAGGACTTGCGAAGGGATTTGACGTGATCGCCGGCAACGACGAGAAGGGCGTGTGCGCGGCGTGTGTCGAAGGAAAAATGGCTCGCAAGCCATTTGGTAGCCGTACCTCACCCCTCGCAAAGGACCCGCTTGCGCTTGTTCATATGGACGTGTGTGGACCGATGCGGCATGCATCAAAGGGAGGAGCGCGGTTCCTCTTAGTGATGCTCGACGACGCGACGCGGATGAGTTGGACCCGACTCTTGTAGGCTAAGGGAGATGCGGCCAAGGCGATTCAAGAGTGGGCGCTCGACGTTTGCGACGACGGCAAGAAGCGGATCAAGTGCATTCGCACCGACGGTGGCAGCGAATTCGTGAGCAACGAGCTTGAAAAATGGATGAAAAGCAAGGGCATTAAGCACGACGTCACGACACCCTACACACCCCAACAAAATGGAGCGGTAGAGCGGCTCAATCGCACATTGATGGAGGCCGTTCGTTCACTTCTTCAACACTCCAAGCTTGGGAACGAGTGGTGGGGAGAGGCGAGTGCGCTAGCGGCATGGATTCGTAATTGTGTGCCAACAAAGGTGCTACCGGGAACGACTCCGTTCGAAGCATGGACCGGAACGAAGCCGAACCTATACCGCCTATGCACCTTTGGGTGCCTTTGCTACTACCATGTACCGGATCCACTTCGCCACAAGTTGCAACCGAAAGCTCGTGCGGCGATCTACTTGGGGATTGCGGCGAACGAGCGTGCATGGCGAGTGTGGGATTTGGATGAAAAACGCGTCGTCACGTCTCGGGATGTGATCTTCGACGAAGACAAGTTCCCGACAAAGGAGAAACAAACGCCGCAACTCACCGTCGTCCTTCCCGCACGAGAGGAGGATGAAGCGGTGGAGGTTTCACCGCACGTGAAGAAGGGAGCCGAAAGTGGAGGGGGAGAGAACGAGGAGTGCGATGATGATGTCGAGGAGGTGCCACCAACCGAGGAGGCCACTTCCTCCGCACCTTCTTCCCTACCATTGGCGTTGACTCGCGGGCGTCGTACACCTCGCCCCAACACGAGGTTAACCGACTATGCTACGGTCGCCGTTGGGGAGTCGGATGAGGAGAGTGCGGCGATTTGCCTAGCGACCATCGGCGACGATAACCCACGCACTCACAAGGAGGCTTTGGCTTCCCCGGATGCACCGCTATGGAAGCAAGCGATGGAGAGGGAGTTAGCATCGATCAAGGAGAACGATGTTTTCGAGCTCGTCGACCCCGCCGAAGGGTGCCTACTTGGTGGGATGCAAGTGGGTGCTTAGGAAGAAATTGGGAGCCGATGGAGGTGTCGAACTCTACAAGGCGCGGCTTGTGGCGCAAGGGTACACTCAACGGGAGGGGGAGCACTTTAGTGAGACCTTCGCTCCCGTTTCGAAGGCCTCCACTCTTCGGGTGTTGCTCGCGCTAGCGGCATCTCTCAACCTCGAGGTGGAACAATTGGACGTTTGCACCGCCTTCCTCTACGGGCTTCTCATGGAAGAAGTCTACATGCGGCAACCCCCGGGGTACGATGACGGTAGCGGTCGGGTGTGGAAGCTCAAGCGTACCTTCTATGGCTTGAAGCAAAGCCCACGCGGATGGTACAAGCGCATCGACGACTTTCCTCTTCAACACGGCTTCGCGCGTAGCGTGTGTGATAGCGCTTTGTACGTGTTGAAGGAGGGGGAGAAGCAATTGGTGCTTTTGCTCTACGTCGATGACCTCCTTCTTTTCTCCGACTCCAAAGACCTCATTCGAGAGGTCAAGCAACGGCTAGGGGCGGAGTTTGCCATGAGGGACTTGGGACCGGTGACGTACTACCTCGGGATGCACGTCGACCGCGACCGCGCGAACGGGACCATTCACCTCCACCAAGAAAAATATGTGAAAGGGGTTGTGGAGCGCTTCGGCATGGGTAATAGCAACCCGGTGGGGACGCCACTAGACACGGGATTTTCTTGCCTCCCGGGAGAGGAAGAATCCGCCCTCGACGAAGCCGAAGGGAAGCGGTTTCATTCGCTAGTCGGCTCACTCATGTATGCCGCCGCTTCCACCCGTCCCGACCTCTCATAAGCCGCCGGGGTACTTGGACGAGCCGTAAGCAACCCTCATACCGAGCATGTGCGTGCGGGAGGACGTGTTCTACGCTACCTCCAAGGCACACCCAACTTGGGAATCGTATATGAAGCCGGTCCAATCGTGCTTAAGGGCTACACCGACTCGGATTATGCCGGTGATCAAAGCAAGCGAAAGAGTACCGGCGGGTACGTCTTCACCTTGCTTGGGGGAGCCGTGAGTTGGCAAAGCAAGTTGCAACCAACCGTGGCTCTAAGCACCACGGAAGCGGAGTATATGGCACTCACTCATGGAGCCATGGAGGCAATATGGCTACGGCGCCTTCTAGCGGAGCTTGGGCATCCTCAAGCCGACCCAACTCCTCTCTTTTGTGACAACCAAGCGGCCAGAGTGGCTTCCCGCAGTGCTCCTGTTGCTGCCGCTGCTGCGACTTTCAAGGCGCCTTAAAGTAAAACCAACCACGGGTAGTGAGGCGGATTTTGAGAAGCCTCAAAAGAGAAGAACACACCTTTCGCAGGACTGGAACCAGAGTGGCTTCCCGCAGTGCTCCTGTTGCTGCTCCGCCATACGCCCTCACCAGACCGCCTGTTCCTAGCTTCACTCCCCCATAGTACCTACACGTTGGGAACACACACAAAATGAAAACGAACGATTTTCTGGCCACATCAAAATTCGTCAGTAGACCTCCTGTTCCTAGCTTCACTCCCCCATTGCACCTTCACGTTGGGAATGGGGGAAAAGAAAAAGAGCACGACGCACTATCAATTCCAAGCTTTCCGCTCCCCATAGCACCCATAAATTGGAAATGGAGCATTCGGCTTGGCAGCATGAAGCATTACCCTCCCCATCCCAGTAAACTACTGTACTAGAGCTGTAAATTCCCCTGCATTGCTTTTAACGAAGCAGGAAAGCATGAGAGAGGATGTCTTACGTTGAGCATTACTCATGCAAGGGTGAGACTCTCTACCTCGTTACCTGGTTACCACCACCATGACACCATCCACCCCAGCCCCCTCAATAGCTGCCAAAATCGGCCGCCCGGCTGTTCCTCCCGGCTCCCCGTCATCATTGAAACGGTAAGCTGGGGAGATCTGGCATGTGGGACAGGATGCGACGGGCAGGGATACGGGGATAACATTGCATACTGACACACACGGAGAAGTGGGAAACGAATTACAGTGGATGGGGATAGAAGAAACACATGAACTGGGAAAGCAGGCTTAGGGTGAGGTACATGAGCAAGAGTGGTGGATTCAACAGCTATGCTAAATCCCTCTGGTGAAATGTGACAAGGCATGGAACTGCATGGTGGGATGTTTTGCATTATTCCAACTTGGAGGGCGTAATGTTTTGAGGCGCCTCAAAACCAACTTGGAGGGCGTCATGTACCATCTCTGTGAAACATATGGATCCCACATCTTGTACCAAGTATAGCGTACGACGTTTCATCTTCTTGCCAGACATGCAGTAACACACGTAACATCTCATCTTGCAACACATGCAACATCTTATCTTGCCCGCCCAGAACCCCACCTTGTACGCCCAGCAGTTGTGGCTGGCTGACGAATCTTTGACCTGGTGGGGCGGGGCAAGGAGGGGACGGCAAGGAGGGGACGGCGAGGAGGGCGGGGCAAGGAGGGGACGGCAAGGAGGGCGGGGCAAGGAGGGAACGGCAAGGAGGGCGGGGCAATCCAGAATGGTAGCAAGAGTGGGGAGGTGAGGAGGGGAGGGCCCATAAGGTGGTTCAAGGGAAATACAGACTCATGAATGCATGCAAAAATTCTCCTCTCTCCTCTCCCCTCTCTCCTCTCCCCTCTCTCCTCTCTCCTCTCCCCTCTCTCCTCTCCCCTCTCTCCTCTCTCCTCTCCCCTCTCTCCTCTCCCCTCTCTCCTCCCCCCTCTCTCCTCTCCCCTCTCTCCTCTCTCCTCTCCCCTCTCCCCTCTCCCCTCTCTCCTCTCCCCTCTCTCCTCTCCCTCTCTCCTCTCCCCTCTCCCCTCTCCCCTCTCTCCTCTCCCCTCTCTCCTCTCCCCTCTCTCCTCTCCCCTCTCCCCTCTCCCCTCTCCCCTCTCCCCTCTCCCCTCTCCCCTCTCCCCTCTCCCCTCTCCCCTCTCCCCTCTCCCCTCTCCCCTCTCCCCTCTCCCCTCTCCCCTCTCCCCTCTCTCCTCTCTCCTCTAGAGACAATTTATCTCTCTTCGTGCTGCCACTCTATGGCTTCTCTCCCCTCTCACCTCTACCCCTCCTCCCTCCTACCTTCTCCTCCCCCTTTTCACCTCTCACCCCATCCAACACGCGCATCGCCTCTTCTGCAGACCCCACTGGCATCGCTACCTCGTCCCCCTTTATCAACCCCTCCTCTCACATTCCCCACTCCCCCCCCCCCTCACCTACCCCGAACCTCCTCCGCCCCTTTCCTCTCTCACCTCGTCCAACACACGAATCGCCTCTCCTGCATATACCTCGTCCCCACTTCACTTCCCTTCTTCTCCCTTCACCTCTCCCTCTTGCCTTCCCCCTCTCCCCGTCATCTCCCCGCTCTCACCTTATCCAGCACGCGCATCGCCTCCTCTGCAGACCCACGAGCGTTGAGGTGTATTTTGAGGCGCCTTAAAATACACCCGCATCGCCTCCTCTGCAGACCCAACCGGCGCCGGTACCTCTTAACTCCTATAACATCGTTCCCTCCCTTTCCCTCCCTCCTTCTCCTCTCTCCCCTCCTTCTTCCATCTCACCTCATCCAACACCCGCATCGCCTCCTCTGCAGACCCAACCGGCGCCGCTACCGCCACGAAGCGACTCCGTTTAATCTCCGAGTGGAATGTAACGGATGTGCTTATAGTGAAGGAAGGAGCGGAGGAGGAGGCGGAGGAGGGGGGGGAGGAGGCGGCGGAGGAGGGGTGGGAGGCAGCGGCAGCGGCGGCGATGGGAGAGGAGAAAGCTGACGGGACTAAGCAAGACACGGAATGAAGGGAGAAGCGATGATGGCAGGGTAACTGACGGACGTGTTGACTTGACTGACTATCGGCGCGCCTGAAAACAGAAGACGTCAGACTGACGTCATCCTTTAAGATCCTCGAGAACGAAACGGAGCGAACGTGAGGTTGCCGGCTAGCCGACGGGAGGCGAAGGCAGAGCGCGAGAGGCAATGTCGGTGTTGTCTGCAGCGTGAGATTTCGGTATGCGAGAACAGGCGACGATCGCAGGCGAGCGCATGCGACGATGTGCGACCGACGCGAATGCGACGCTAGGGAATGCGACAGCGGCCTCGGACGAACACATGCTGACGTCATTGTGCCTGACATCACTCGAGCCAACGAGACCAGAGTGAGGGAGATATGAAAAAGGAACCCGACTCCTTAACTCTCCATGACCAGGAAGCTACTTTTGATGTAAAACGGCTGGTAATGGCGGCCGTCGTTTGCGGCGAGGCAAGAACGGCAGCTGTGACAAAAAATGACATCCACGCAACTACAGCATGAAAGGGAGAAAACAAAAGAGGGGCCAACCACAAAAAGCGTTTTCCGTTGCCGGGACTTGAACCCGGGTCTTTCGGGTGAGAGCCGAATATCCTAACCGACTAGACTACAACGGATGCCAAGCTCTTGGAATTGTTTAAATAAATATCAATACCAATTGTCAAACACATTCTGTGCTCGCATCGCATCGCATCCCACGGTTCAGAGCCATCATGAGCGGATCGGCGTCTCGCCACTTCCGCTCCGCCGCAGGGGCACTGCGGCAGTGCCTTAGACGAACAAACGGCTCCTCATCCGCGCCTCGCCCGACTCCTGTCCCCGCTAGCGCGGTCCTCGCTTCCACACATGGCGCTCATGAGCCCAGCATTTGCTGTAATACTATCGATCCCGCCCTCACCAGAACGAGCTCCTCCATTGGTCGCGGGTTTAGCGTCGGCGATGCATCTCCCGGTGACACGTGGCACCGATCTATCGGTTCATTCAATCATGGATTAACACCACAGTATCCTGACTTTCCCGCAGCATTCGCCGCTCGAGCCGTATCATACTCCACGTTTCACTCAACTCCCGCTGCAGCTGCGGCTGCTGCTGCTGCTGACGTGGCAGCGAGCGGAACGAGCGGGGAGAAGGCGCAGCCGCCGGCTTCCACGCTGCTTCCGACGTCCGGCGCTCCGGTGGTGTCGCCGCTCGTTACAGGCACGTCGCCGCTGTCGCCCGCATCGCCCACTGGTCGCACGGTTCGCGCCGTTCTCGCAGGGCTCAAACAGGTACGGCGCGGTACAGTGTGGTACTGACGTCCCCGCCACTCCACCCCCACTCCACCCCCACTCCACCCTCACTCCGTCCCCTCTAGCATCCCCATTTCCCTTCTCCCAGGGTCGCAAGAATGTGAATCTGGTGACAGCGATGGTTCTTCTGGGGGGGGAATGGCGCCACACAGGAGGAGGGGTTATTGCACATTATAAACCGACTACTTCCGTTTTGACTTCTAACCTTTCAACCTTTCAACCCCCAATTCCTCAGGGTCCCAAAAAGGTCAGTGTGGTGGCGGCAATGGTGCGAGGGATGGCGCCACACGATGTCGCGCCCCAAAGCCCGTGAGGGCTCCTCTCCCTGTCTCTTCCCCCTCACGGTCCCCAAACCCTTTTCCCCCCGTCCCCTCTCCCCCCTTTTTTTTCCCCTCCCCAGTCCCCCTTTCTCCGCTGTCTCCCAGGGTCCCAAAAAGGTGAATCTCGTAGCGGCCATGGTGCGGGGGATGACGCCAGATGATGCCTTGAGGCCTCAACATTAGACCCTCCAACTGTCTTTCCCCCCCCCTTCCCCTTCCCCCGGCCCGGCTGCTCCTCCATTTCTTCCCAGGGTCCCAAGAAGGTGAATCTCGTAGCGGCCATTGTGCGGGGGATGACGCCAGACGATGCGCTCATGCAGATGGCAGTCAGCACCAAGCGCGCTGCTAAAACCGTTGCTAAGGTGGGATGTGGTTAGATTGAGGGTGGCACTTGCTTTTCTCACTGGATGACGCCAGACGATGCGCTCATGCAGATGGCTGTCAGCACCAAGCGCGCCGCTAAGACCGTGGCTAAGGTGAGAGGATAAATCACAAGCATGGTCATGGTGCGGCCATGGTGCGGGGGATGACGCCACACGATCCACTCACGCAGATGGCCATCAGCACCAAGCGCGCCACTAAGACCGTGGCTAAGGTGAGAGGATAAATCACAAGCATGGTCATGGTGCGGCCATGGTGCGGGGGATGACGCCACACGATCCACTCACGCAGATGGCCATCAGCACCAAGCGCGCCACTAAGACCGTGGCTAAGGTGAGAGGATAAATCACAAGCATGGTCATGGTGCGGCCATGGTGCGGGGGATGACGCCACACGATGCACTCATGCAGATGGCCGTCAGCACCAAACGCGCTGCTACGACGGTGGCCAAGGTGAGTTTGCAGTGAGGCGAGAGGTGAGAGTTGTGGTCACCACCGTCAGCACCAAACGCGCTGCTGCTCCAAGCGCGCTGCTGCTCCAAACGCGCCAGACGATGCACTCATGCAGATGGGCAAGGTGAGTTTGGAGGTGGGAGGTGAGACGTGACTGTGGTGAGGTGAGGGTGACTGGCAGTTGCTTGCTCACTGGCGCCAGCCACACGATGCGTTCATGCAAATGTCCGTCAGCACCAAGCGGGCCGCTAAGACGGTGGCCAAGGTGGGATGAGAGAGAGGTGAGAGGTGTAGAAGGTGGGAGGTGGGATGGAGGTGAGGTGTGAGCGTGCCCAAAGTGGGTTGGGAGTGAGGAGTGATGTGACAAAGGTTGATGTGGTTGATTAGGTGCTAATCTGATTATGATATTGTTCTTCTCCTTCCCACTCCTCTCCTCTCTCTGTCCCTCTGCAGATCATCACAGCAGCCAAAGCCAATGCGTTCACAACCATGGGCTGGAGGAGAGAATTAAACCTGCCAGGCCATGCTAAGGTCCCTCACTATTCACTGTGCTCGTTTCTCTCTTTCCTCTCTCCTCTCTGCCCCCCTGCAGGTCATCACAGCAGCCACGTTTTTGAGGCGCCTAAAAACGAGGTCGTTTTTGAGGTCTTTGAGGTCGTTTTTGAGGCGCCTCAAAAACGTCATCACAGCAGCCAAGGCCAACGCAGTGCACAACCATGGGCTGGAAAGGCGAGGTTTAGACCTTTCCCTGATCTATTTTCCCTCTCTCCTATCCTCCCTCTGCCCTGCAGGTGGTCACAGCAGCCAAGGCGATCGCAGTGCACAACCATGGGCTGGAGGAGGAGAAGAGGCTAACCATGTCATACAACGAATGTGAATATAAAATTGTGCTTCTCTCGCCTCTCTTCCCTCTGTCCCTTGGCCCCTGCCCCTCTACAGGTGGTCACAGCAGCCAAGGCCAATGCAGTGCACAACCATGGGCTGGAGGAGGAGAAGAGGCTAACCATGTCATAACAACGAATGTGAATATAAGATTGTGCTTCTCTCGCCTCTCTTCCCTCTGTCCCTTGGCCCCTGCCCCTCTGCAGGTCGTCACAGCAGCCAAGGCCAACGCAGTGCATAACCATGGGCTGGAGGAGAAGAAGCTCATCATTGGTGAGGGAGAAAGGGGTGTGAGGGTGTGGGGGTGTGCAGGGACTGGGTGTGGGTGGGTTTGAAGGGGTGCTTTTGAGTAAACACGATAACAGCCATGGGCTGGAGGAGAGGAAACTTATCATTGGTGAGGGAGGATGGGTGTGAGGGTGTGGGGATGTGAGTGTGGAGGGAGTGTGTGTGGATGGAAGGAAATTACTATTGGTGAGTGCGGAGGGAGTGGGAAGCTGGGGGGGAATGGGAAGTTGGGGGGCTTTCTGATTGAGAAACAATTTCCCATTCCCTCGGTTCTGGGATCCAAGGCACAACCATGCCCATACCCCTTAAACCAACCATGCTTGACCCCTCTTCATCCCAAACTTACTTACCTTCCCCTTCTGGATTTCACCTCTCCTCCCCACCCTTCTCCGGCGGAGGCGTATGTAAGCAAGGGGCATTATCTGAAGCGGCTGAACCCGCATGGGAGGGGGCGGTCAGGGGTGAAGCACCGCTGCTGGTGCTGCTGCTGATGATAACATACCCGTTTCCCCTCTTTCTCCCTTTCCCCTCCTTGCTCCCTGCAGCGGAGGCGTATGTGGGCAAGGGGCGGTATCTGAAGCGGCTGAACCCGCATGGGAGGGGCGGGTCTGGGTGCTGGCAGTCAGCTTCTTTCCCTTGCTCTCACGCAGTCTTCCGCTCTTTCTTGCCCACCTTTTTCCCCTCTTTCCCCCTCTTAACAGCGGAAGCCTATGTGGGCAAGGGCGATCTCTGAAGCGGCTGAACCAGCATGGGAGGGGCCGGTCGGACGTGAAGCACCGCTACCGAAGCCGCCTCACCGTGGTGGTCCGCGAGATGAGCGGCCCTGAGGAGGAGCGCGTGGAACGGCAGAGAGCAGCAGCTGCTGCTGCAGAAGCAGCTACCCCTAAACCCCTTTTCCTCTTGCTTGTTTTCTCCTCTTCCCCCACCCACCCTCCCACCAACCCCCTCCCCCTCCTCCCCGCAGCGGAGGCGTATGTAGGCAAAGGGCGGTATCTGAAGCGGCTGAACCCGCATGGGAGGGGGCGGTCGGGAGTGAAGCACCGCTACCGAAGCCGCCTCACCGTGGTGGTCCGGGAGATGAGCGGCCCTGAGGAGGAGCGCGTGGAAAAGCAGAGGGCTGCTGCGGCCAATCACAGGTGGTTGCGGCGCGTGCAGAGGAAGCGAGGCCAGATTGTGCCGCATAAGGTGGTGGAGGTGGGGAGGAGAAAGGAGGAGGAAAGTGGGGCTGCTTGATTGACAATGAAATGAGAAGACTAGGTGGGTTTTGATGAGAATGGGGTGTTTGCGTTTGGATATACAAAGGTTAGGGTTGGGTAGAAGGAATGGAAATTTTGTTGTGAGATATGCTAGGCTGGAAAGAAGGCAAATGAATGTCTGTAAACTTCCAAGTACTGCCTTCAATGAAACGACCTGGAGCTCTACCGGTATTAGGCATCAAGGTTAGGGGCAAGGGCACATCATGCTTTTCCCCCATAGACTTTTCTTCAAAAAGCTGCAAGTTTGAATTGCAAGATTGTTCGTTCTACAGTGGGTTCCGTTAAGAGGATATCGAGATTCTGAAGTTGCGTATGTTACACTCGCAGCATTCTTGCTTAGTGCCACCAATTCGCATAGATTCTAACCTTCGTCCCTCTGATAAAACCCGGCCGAGGAAGTGCTCATGTAGCTAGCACCTAAGATCGTCGTTTATCAACGCACCCGATCTGGTCTGGCGATCTCGGTTCTCCGCTCCTTGTTGGTCGCCGTTTGTCACTCTGTTATTCTTCATTTAGGACTGTCCTAACAGGGTTGTAGCAGCTTTATTCTAGTACGACCTTGTCTGCCATCTGCCTGTGAACGTGGTCAGCAGGGTAGCGCTGTTCTAATTTCTTGCGTTCAGCTTCTATCGGGGACAGGCCGGTCATCAAGGAATAGGCAGAGCGAAGCGGGCCAGAGGTAGTCATTAACTGGAACAACGAAAAGCCATTAACTGCAGTGGTTCACCACCCGCGGAATCTGTGTAACTTCTCCTCCTTTTCACGTTCTTAAGGAGTAAGAAGAGCTAGTCACACTGACAGGGTAGGTCACGCGGAAGCCATGGCGAAGCATCATCCGGATTTGATCATGTGTCGGAAACAGCCGGGAATTGCCATCGGTCGCCTGTGCGAAAAATGCGACGGAAAGTGCGTCGTTTGCGACTCGTACGTGCGACCTTGCACACTTGTGCGGATATGCGACGAGTGCAACTATGGGTCTTACCAGGTGAGTACGAATTTAACCCCCTTCTTCGTTCACATACGAATTGAACCTGAAGCTGGCATACGTTTTGAATGATCCTGTTTGGAAAGTTATTCTGTTGCTGATGATAATTGTGTGACATCAATTCGTGGTGAGGAAGGTTCCGACTTTTCCCTCTCTTTCTACCCCACTCTCCCATCTCCCCTCTTCCTTCTCTCCTCACCCCCCCGCTCACAACCATCGTTCCCTTCCCCTTTTCATCCCGGTTGATAGAGGGAGTTGCATACCAGGGACATACGATTTTAATAAGATCTTTCTTATGTTCCTGCCTCCGTGTTTCTCCCATCTCTCTCTCTCCTTGCTTCTCCTCTTGATGGGTCGTTTCCGAAGGCCAGGGCATACCAGTATCAGATGGGTGTACTACTATTGCAAGGAGAACAATCCACCACATTGTTTTTCTCACCCTGCTCCTACTCCTCTTTCCCGTCGTTGCTCCAGGGTCCGTGGGTGAGGGCAGGGCATATCACACGCATATCATTGCAATGAGTACACGCGCCAGGACAATAAGCAGCAGTGCCTTGCTTTCCATCTCTTCCCCGTTTATAAACCATTCTATTCCGTTTGTCCCCCCTTTCCCATTCTCTCCCTTGGTTGATTCAGGGTCGGTGTGTGATATGTGGAGGGCAGGGCATATCAGATGCATATTACTGCAAGGAGTGCACTCAGCAGGAGAAGGATCGAGACGGGTGTCCTAAGATCATCAACTTAGGAAGTGCTAGAACAGACCTGTTTTATGAAAGGAAAAAGTATGGCTTCAAACAGAGGGCATAAATTTGCCCATTATACCTACTTATGCCAAAGCTTAAGCAATTCCAAATTTCCTCATTTGAAGCCTTTGGTTCCCCTTCAGGAATCTATTATTGAGTATACAAACTACAAACAATGAGGGGCCTCCTTGTATGGGATCCAGTACAGTACAAATGGGCAAGTTTCGGAAACACTGGCTTTCGCGAGCTGAGCAATGCAACTTTAAACCATATCCGTGGATGTGCTGAAGATGTCGTCCCAATCAATCATGAGTTACTGAAATAATCAGAGGGTTGGGGGAAGTGCAAGAGGGGTTCAGGAATGTAGCAATGACAGAACCAGGATTTGAACGGCAAGATAATCAGCACAAGTGGCAAACAAAAGGCCAAGGGTATAGTTCTCATGGTTTTGCTTGTAGAAGCCTGCACAGAACTAGCAAACGGGCATAGAAGCACATGTGAGCAAGCGTTCCATGAACTCACATGGCTAGCAGCAAAGCTAGTTCCAGTCGATGCTGCTGCTGCTACTGCGGGAGCATACCCCTCCCTGTGCCCGTCCCCATCTACCACAGCATGACCATGCCCATGCCCATGCCCATGAGCACGCCCGTGCCCATACCCATACCCATACCCATGCCCATACCCATACCCATGACCATGCTTAGATGACTCAAGAGCATGCAATCAACTCACATGGCTGGCAGCGGAGCTAAATCCAGTCGCTGCGGCTGCAGAAGCATGTCCTTCCCCATGTGCCTCAACATGCCCATGCCCATGCCCATGACCATCACTATGAGTAGACTCAAGAGCATGCCATCAACTCACATGGCTGGCAGCAGAGCTTGCCGCTGCTGCTGCAGGAGCATGTCCCTCCCCATGTGCCTCGGCATGCCCATGCCCATGCCCATGCCCATGACCATGTCTATGAGTAGACTCAAGAGCATGCCATCAACTCACATGGCTGGCAGCAGAGCTTGCCGCTGCTGTTGCAGGAGCATGTCCCTCCCCATGTGCCTCGGCATGCCCATGCCCATGCCCATGCCCATGACCATGACTATGAGTAGACTCAAGAGCATGCCATCAACTCACATGGCTGGCAGCAGAGCTTGCCGCTGCTGCTGCAGGAGCATGTCCCTCCCCATGTGCCTCAGCATGCCCATGCCCATGCCCATGCCCGTGTCCATGTCCGTGACCATGACCCTCCCACGGGTGGCGCCAGCCCTGCGGACGGAAAGGAATTTTATACACAATGGGTAAAATAAATCCCACGCAACAATCTGTTACAAAGATGGAAAAGAGGCATGGGGCATGAAGTGATGGAGGAGAGGGGGTTGACTTGGTAACAGGATCAAACCAAAGTCTTCGAATAATTCGGAAGGTGGGAGTGGGGTAGGTCAGAGGGAGGAGGGGTGAGAGCTCGGCTCACCAGCACTACTGGGCCGTCCTCCTTGGCGCGGTAGAGAATCCAGAACCTGCACAAACAGCAGAGACACACACATGGGACGACAGCAACTTTTCAGTCGACTCAAAGGTCTACTGGCCCATCCTCCTTGGCGCGGTAGAGAATCCAGAACCTGCACAAACAGCAGAGACACACACATGGGACGACAGCAACTTTTCAGTCAACTCAAAGGTCTACTGGCCCATCCTCCTTGGCGCGGTAGAGAATCCAGAACCTGCACAAACAGCAGAGACACACACATGGAATGACAGTAACTTTTTAGTAGACTCAAACGTCTAGGGGCCCTTCCTCCTTGGCGCGGTACAGAATCCAGAACCTGCACAAACGGCAGGGACACACACATGGGACGAAGTAACTTTTCAGTCGACTCAAAAGTCTACTGTCCCTTCCTCCTTGGCGCGGTAGAGAATCCAGAACCTGCACACACGGCAGTCATACACATGTAGCGTCAAAACTGCTTGCTGGATACTGACTCGTGAGTGTAGATAGTTTCTGTTGCAAAGAATCCGGAAAAGGTCCACAGGTGCAACGAAAACAGAGTTGCCATTATCTAATAATATTCGTGATTGCATTCAGCCATCGGACAGGGGTAACAGACGGACTACCAGAATTGGTTACCGTACAGGGTTACCAGAAATGGTTACTAAACGAGGAGTGCTGACATGAATCGTAGAAATGGTTACCAGAAGAAGGTACCAGAAATGGCTAAAGTATAGGGTTACCGGAAAGGGTTACTGTCCGGGGTCACCAGACATGGTTATCGGACAAGAATAACAACCTGAGTTCCCAGACTGGGAGCGCTGAATCAAGCCGGACCACATCATCGCGCACATGCCAGTGCCGACGACCAGAGCGGGTTACAAGACATGGTCACCATACGGGGTTAATAGACAGGGCTACCAGACAGCGAGCGCTGAGATCAAGACATACCACATCATCGCGCACATGCCGGTACCGACGACCTTATGCCAGCGTGCCGCCGGGTGCAGCGTCAGGCCGCCATGGGTGATACCGTGTCCGTTGCCGTGCCCTCCCGCCATGATCGCTGATAGAAGATATGCCTCAGTTAGGATCGAAGTCAAATCGCGAAAGGAGAGCGATCGCGCGCAGTCAATGCACTCGATCGCAAAGCGCTCGGATCACGGTACTCGCGGAGATTTGCGAGTCGAGCGGATGCTGAAGCCGTGAATCGCGGTGCTGAATGATGTGGAATGGAGGAAGTGGAAGTGGTGGATGGCGGTGGTGATGGTGGAGGAAACGTTAGGGTTGCTGGGAGAAGCAGCTCCCCCTGAGTTGATTCAGAACGTATCCGAAACAAGCTTGATTCGGTTGCCGCTAGAGTGAACTGGCTTCTTCAAGGTCGTATTCCTAAGTAGCATTTGTAGCACGAGTGGCAGAAATCGTCCTTGGTACAATTCGGAACACATTTCAAATCCCTCGATTTCCGCGAGAATCATGGTCCGGGTCATTACGAGTCAATCGAATTGGGCGATTTCGATCGCTAGAACAGATACGAAACACTCCTTGGAGCGATTTCGAAGTGTGAAGTGAAACCTTCGAAATGCTGACGAGTGGACCAGCAAAACAACCCAGCAAGAGTGGAAGCTTGAAAACCCCAGCATCTGCTCAGTCAATGCCATACGAGACGGGACTCTCCAGAAGTCAATCAGGGTACGATCATTTCAGGGGATGTACAATTTTGAGAGCTGTTGGGAGGAGTCCAGGAATAATCTCACGGCTGTTTGAGTCCGAGGGCTTTCACTTGAGACGCCGCGTTGTAGGAGCAACTGCTCACCGTGCTGCTTTTTTGCAATCTAAGATTACCTGCTAGTGGCCTGGTCCAGAAACCATGTCTCGAGCTGTTTACTGCGGGAACTTCGAGTATGAGGCTCGGCAATCGGAGATCGAGCGGCTGTTCGACCGTTACGGTCGGATTTCTCGAGTAGACATGAAGACTGGTATGATAATCTATTTTCCTGCTCACATCTCATTTTTAGCACCACTCACGGAAGAGTTTGTTTGCGACTCAGAGTTAAATTGCAGGTTCATGGGAACAACGAACCGGACACGCGTCTGGACATTGCCTTTACCCAGCAGTTAGCAGTCTCTGCTGACAACATAAAATTCCGAACACACAACATGAGACGCCCGACTCATGGCATCGCAGCAAGTACAACGTGATGAGCCATTTCAGCCTCTGGCTCTGGATGCTCTTCACGCGCTGGATGCACGCTCGCTCGCGCTGGCATTCGCGGTCGACAGAGACCAGTTTAGACAACAATGGCGCCAGCTTTCCGCTGCTCGTCTACGCATCACCCGTCGTGTCTATCCGATTCAAGCTTGCTCAACTCGACTCGTTATGACAACCGGCATCTCGTTCAAAGTCCAACCTAAGCAGAGGACAAATGCCCAGAGCCTGTCATCGTTCACACGGTCAACTAGCACATCTGTCTTATACCGGGTGTGCGTGCTGGCTATAAATATCCATGTGTTATTTTCTTGCGTATCGTCTAAATTTTTTTTTTTCTCAGCAATTTATCGTGTCGGTTTGCTTACTTCTTCCATCATCTTCAAATATTGCAATCCGCGTCTATTTTTAACAGCCGAATGTTCTTGTTCCTTTGATTTCTTCATGTTCCCTTGCCATCTGTCACGCAGGCTTCGCGTTTGTCTACATGGATGATGAGCGCGACGGTGATGATGCCATCCGGGCTTTGGACGGTATGGAGTTCGGTAGGCAGCGCCGACGCCTTCGCGTTGAATGGGCAAGGGTGAGCATGGATGCCATTGCCTGTCAATTTCCGCCGTACTTGTCCTTCTGTGGCTCTGTATACTAACTTCTCATACGGCCGGCTTCCGTTTGTTCTTCGCAGGGGGAAGGTCCTGTGAAGCAAAGGGAGGTAGAGCGTAGGAACTCCAAGCCTTCGAAAACTCTATTCGTTGTGAATTTTGACCCCATCAATACCCGAACACGGGACTTGGAGAGGCATTTCGAACCATATGGCAAACTGGTTCGGGTCCAGATTCGCAAGAACTTTGCGTTTGTGCAATATGAGACGATTGAGGAGGCTGAAGCAGCGGTTAAAGGAACTGATGGAAGGTATGTCTCACGATATCCCTGCAGAAACTTGCGTTTGTGCTGCTCCTTTCCTCTGTGTTGCCTCTACTCCGAGTGGTTCATACTCTTGCTCTGCACCTTCTTGCCAATACTTACCTTTCACAATTCCTGTGGAGTGCAGCTCGGTTGATGGTCGTCAAATTACTGTAGAATTTGCTGCCAGAGAGGACAGCTTTGACGATGACAGGACTGCGCGCCGTGGCAGCCCTGACTATGGCAGGCGCAGGGGCAGCCCAGAGTATGGGCGCTATGGAAGGTGTGTAAAGTTGCTGACATGTGTAAATTCTGTCCAACGCGGGGTATAGTCAAGGAGCCAAAATGCTTATGTGCACGTGTGGGTGTGCTTATGTTCAACCCCCTGCGCAACTTGCTGCATTGTGTGTGTTGCTTTGCAGCCGTTCACCACCCCGCCGTGGTCGCAGCCGCACTCCCAGCAGAAGCCGCAGCAGGAGCCGAAGCGTTAGCAGGTCCCCTCGTCGTTCTCGCTCACCTCGTCGTTCTCGTTCACCCCGTCGCTGATGGGCATGTCTTGGAAAGCGGACTTGAAAATGGCGCCGTATTAGTGTCAATATTACAATCGCTAGTTAGTTTCTTCCTACCGTAGTTGTTGCGTCCTTATTACAAGGCTAACTTCTATATTGGAAGCCTTACTCTACCTGAGGCTTATGAGTACCAACCAAACATGTCCCATTGAAAGTATTAATCTCATTACAGCAAGCTGGCAGTAGGCTTTTAAAACATCAAAACAAGCTGGTTTCCATTCTCCTATCCTCCTCAACTGCCGCATCATATCTTGGTGTGAGTCGGGATGAGCAATGATCCATCAAAATTTACTACATGCATGCCTGCTGCAGCACATGAGGGATGCAGCACTGCATGCATAGGCATGTCCCACTGTAGCCCTCGCTCTTAAGATAGGCTAGGAGACAAGTGTCGAGAGTAATGTTTGAGTAAGGAGGGACAAGGAGATGCAAATGTCGACCTAAAGTGTTGTACCCTTTAGAGGGCAACTCACAGTAGCCTATCTAACAATATATAGAATATATAAACATTTGACACACCCCCATAGGCTAAGTGAGGGGCATCAAAACAACCAACGGAAACAAGGGGTCACAAGACCAGTCAAGAACAAGCATAAAAAAAACAAAGCTCAGGGTGGCGCTCAGAGTCACCACACACTCCGAGCACAAGCAAGTGGCCACAAGGCCAGTTCAAGAGTTTACTAGTATATATAGAAGCACAACAAGTAGAGCAAACAGCAAGTCTACAGCAACCGAGGGCCTACCTCAACAAGCCCCAACTGCACACAGAACCTGTGGTGGTCACCAGGCGCCAAGGCCTTGGTGAAGACGTCGGCAGTGTTGGCCTGTGAGGCCACAAAGTCCAAACGTGCCTGACCGCGTCGCTGCAACTCTCGCAGGAGGAAGTACCTCACGTCAATATGCTTCACTCTGCTCTCCAGTCGAGGCTCTCGACACAGGAGGATCATGGCCTTGTTGTCAGCGTACAAGGTCGGTGCAGAGCGAGGCCGCTCACCAAGGTCGGCGAGCAAGAAGGTCAACCAGCGAAGCTCCTGTGCCGCCATGGCACCAGCGTAGATCTCTGCCTCTGCACTGGAAGTAGCCACAGACGACGACCGTGTAGACCTCCACGACACAGCACCAGCTCCCAGACTGAAGCAGTAACCCTGAGTCGAACGCTGAGTCTCCACGTCGTCAGCGTAGGAAGAGTCGCAGTGACCAGTCAACGCCACTGGCTGAGTCCCTCCAAGCACAAGCCCCATGCCTGATGTAGTCGCCAGGTACTTCGCCACCCTCACAGCAGCTGTCCAGTGGACAGGGCGGTGTCTCCCAGTCGCAACAAAGCGAGAAAGGATGCTGAGTGGAAAGGCGAGGTCCGGTCGAGTACAAGTCATCAGGTACATGAGGCAGCCCACCAGCTCTGCGTAGGGTCCACTGGACTCAAAGGGCTCGTCAGGAAAGGGGCCCGTGAGTCTGTGGTCAACAGCAAGAGGAGTGGGCTGTGTGGTGGAGAACTGGAAGTCGAACCGCCGAAGGATCTGCTGCACCATGTGTGACTGCGTCAGTGTGATGGTGCGAGCGGCTCTGTCCCGGGTGATCTGCAGGCCAAGGTAGCGCTGCAGCTCACCCAGGTCAGTGCACTTGTGTCTCTTCTGCAGTTCGGACTTCACCTGAGCCAGGGCTGCCCTGTCTGCTGTAGCAAACACCAAGTCGTCGACATAGACAAGGATAAAGAAAGGAGTAGAACCCGACGGGTCGGCGGAGGACGGGCTGAACCCAAGGTCACGAAGCGTGGAGCGAAGAGTGTCGTGCCACTCACGGGGCGACTGGCGGAGACCGTAGACTGGTCGCCTCAGGCTCCACTGGGTCCCAGGTGGGAAGGTGTCAGTGAAGCCAGGAGGACGGCGCAGCCAGATCTCCTCGTGTAGTCGGCCCTGGAGGAACGCAGTGGAGAAGTCGAGGGAGTGCAGCTCGTAGTCTCGCTGCGCTGCTATGTGGAGTAACACCCGAAGAGTAGTCATCTTCGGGGTCGGGGCGAAGGTCTGGAAGAAGTCAACTCCCTCACGCTGACTGAAGCCCCTAGCCACGTAGCGCGCCTTGAACACCGGCGGTGCTCCAGGCGGCCGCTTCACCTTGAAGAGCCACATGCCATCGACTACGTTCGCCCTGGGAGGGGGAACTGCGTCGACGTAGGTGCCTGTGGATCTCCAAGACGCCAACTCTGAGTCCATAGCCGCTTTCCACTGAGAGGCCCACGCCCCTGACACTGCCTCGCGGTAAGTGCGAGGAGTCGGTATGTCAAGGGCGTCGGGGTCTCCCTCAGGGGAGAGCAGCATGGCACACACAGAGGGAGAAGCGGCTGCCCAGTACTCCAGCTCAGACTCTCTGTCCTCTAGGACGTCACAGCCAAGGGCAAACCCACCCCCGACGGACAGAGGACGGTAGGGAGGAGCTGGCACCACACGGGTGGCGTAGTCAAGGTGGCTGGCGGCAGCAAACTCAGCGACAGCGGCAGTAAGAGCCGAGGCAGACGACGGAGGGAAACGAGAGTCGGTGACAAGAGTGGCGAGGACACGTGCGGCAACAGGACGAACAACGCGGTAGTAGTCAGAGATAGGAGTGGGGAGGGCTGGTAGGGAGGACGGAGGAGGAGACGGGAGAACGGACACAGGAGAAGGAGAACGACGACGAGACGAACAAAGGAGGGCAGTGTGGAGGTCAGTAACAGGGGACGAGTGACGAGCACGCGGAGGACAACGAGTGATCAGGTCGCGACGGACAGAGGGAGGAGGAGAAGACCAGACCGCCGGACGGTCGTCAGGAGGAGGCAACGGAGGAACAAACACAGGAGGAGACTGGGAGCGGACAGGAGGAGAGGAGGAAAGGCCAAGGGCCCGCAGGCCACTCACAGGTGGGAACAACCGCCGCTCCAGAGGAAGCTGCGGTGGCGGCTGCGGCCGCTGCTGCTGCGGCTGCGGCTGCTGCTGCTGCGGCTGCGGCGGCGGCTGCGGCTGCTGCTGCTGCTGCTGCTGCTGCTGCTGCTGCTGCTGCTGCTGCTGCTGCTGCTGCCGCTGCTGCTCCAGAAGGTCCAGCACCCGCAGCTCCTGCCGCTCCCTCTCCAACCGCTCCTGCTCCTCACGCTCACGCCGACGGGCAGCCTGGAGACGCGTGTCGTGGCGGTGGGGAGGCGGAGTGGACTCCGCAGAACCAGGGTCTCCAGCGTCAGTCCCCTCAGACTCAGCACCCCCAGAACCAGCACCGCCAGTGCCAGGACCTCCAACTCCAGCACCCCCAGAACTAGCACCGCCAGTGCCAGCACCCCCAACTCCAGCACCCCCAGAACCAGCACCTCCAGTACCGGCACCTCCTGCTCCAGCACCCCCAGAGCTAGCGCCACCTGCGCCAGCACCTCCAGCTCCAGCACCCCCAGAGCTAGCGTCACGTGCGCCAGCACCTCCAGCTCCAGTACCCCGCGACCGAGCACCCCCAGACCGAGCACCGCCAGCGGCTGCACCTCCAGCGCCAACACCAACCGAGTCCAAAGTAACCTGTCGCGGAAGTGCCGAAGGCTGCTGAGGGGACTGTGAGGAGGACTGCGGGGAGGGAGACGCTACCTGACGCGCGACCGAGGGTAGAGGGGTAGCGTGGGACACACCAGACGGGGCAGGACCTGGGGGGGGCGGGGGTACCGGAGGAGCGGGAGCAGGAGGAGGAGAGGGTGCGAGGAAGAGAGGGGGAGGGGGTACCGGGAGACCTCGACAGGGGTACCGGGTGTAGTAGGACACGGACTCGTCAAACCGGACGTCACGGGAGTCTAGGAACTGGTGGAGGGGAGGGTGGTAAAAGGACCAGTCAGCAGAGTCCACTGGGAAACCAAGGAAGACACATGGGACGGCGCGTGCCGAGAGCTTGTCCGCGGAGGTGTCGCGAACAAGTGCAAGGCAGCCCCAGACTCGAAAGGCCGACCCAACACCAGGGGATCCAGTCCAAAGACTGGTCGGTGAAGCCTCGGGCCGCGAGACACGCGGCTGGAGGTTCAGCTGGTGTGCGGCGTAGCGAACCGCGTGGGGCCACAGAAAATGGGGCGCACGGGCATGAATCATGGACGTGCGGGCGATGTCCATGACCAAGCCTATGCGGCGCTCAGCAACCCCATTCTGCTGTGGGGACTCTGGCAGCGTCCAGGACTGGGTGATGCCCTGTTCGCCGCAGAATCCGCCGAGAATGCCGGAGCGAAACTCGCCCCCACGGTCGGAGTGAAGACAACTGACTCGACGACCACGAGTGCCCTCAGTGGCTAGAAGCCACCTGATCAGCGTAGCAGTCACCTCGGACTTCTTCGCAAGAGGGAACACTGTGGTGTACCTGGAGAAGTCGTCGACGACCACCAGAAAGTAACGCTCCCTCCCAGACCCCTGCGTCGGGGCAGGGCCCCAGACGTCCAAGTGGAGAGTCTCGAAGGGAGCGGTGGCCGGACGAAGGGAGGAGGAGTGGGGAGTGGCGCGTAAGCGACCGGCGACGCACGGAGAGCAAGGAGGGGCAAGCGAGAGAGGGAGCGACGGGAAGGTGCGTGGGAGACCTGTGACTAGTCCCTGACTGAGCATGCCACGAAGGCGAGGGATCGACGGGTGGCCAAGACGGTGGTGCCACAGGACGGTGCGGTGGGCGAGAGAGCGACAGGAGCAAGACGCAGCGACTGGACTGGACACAGCGACCGGACTGGACACGACTACCTGGCTAGACACAGCAACTGGACTGGGGACCTGAGCCGGAGGGGACGCAAC